AAGGACAGTTACTTTAATGACGATATATCGACAGTATTGTAGTGTTGTCATAAGCGTCGAAGATGAAATTTCAGCAAATCTAGAGTACGGAGAGTCTAGATAGTCTTACCACTCAATTTTTTCTTTCTTTCTTTCAGATTTCAACCAAATTTTATTTCAAAAAGAACTTAAAATTTCAAGCGTCATATATCGAAAATAAACTCGTCAAGATATCAAAAATAAAAAGTTTTTGATATATAAATTCTAAAAAGTACTTTAGAAAGCTGTTTTTCTGTTTTTGTTACAAAAAAAGATTCTAAATGTCTCATTCTCTAGGAAAAATGTGTTCTGGGAATACATTTGATGCTTTTGGGACATGTATACAACAGGGAATAGAGTTGATATAATTCCGCCTTTTCCATCGTTGTTTCCATTTCTTCGCCGTTATTATTATTTACTCTGTCATCTATATTTGCATTTTCAACCAAATTTACGATGCTTTTCAACATACTTTTTTTTTCTATTACATTGTTTTCTGCGAATAAGAAGCAATCGGATGAATGGATGAATGGATGAATGGATTAAAAGAATACTTGATATCTATAGAAATAAAAATTACTCTCTCTCTCTCTCTTTCTAGTTATTTCATTACATTGTTTTCTCATTTAATCTCTCTATTTCATTACATTGTTTTCTCATTTAATCTCTCTTTGTACATTATTTTTCTGATGTGACGTTTTGATATTCAATATTCCACAGGAAACTAAGATTACCTGAATATATTAGGATCATATATTAAGATTAAAGGCTTTAAAAGCTAAATGTTACTGAAAGTATTGAATACCATACGAGTTTGCGAAGGTGCGATATAATCGCAATATTCCTTTACATACACGGAGTGAATATATATATAATACCTAATAAAGATTAATTCTTATCATCTGATTACGTATATTAAAGATTAATGATGCGTTTATGCAAAGCGATAAATTGCGTCTAAAATCTTAAAGAGCTGTAATCAAATTACATCTTGAATTATCTAATATAATGATAAAATCTAATTGAAATAGAATGAGTAAATAAAGTTTAATAAATATAATAACAATAATTATCCAATAAGAAAAAAACAATATGCACTTGCTTCATTTGTTAAAAACTCTCAGTACCAGTATATACTTTGTAAATTTTATGTTTAAACGATTCAGTCATTTGTCCTTCTTTCATGTAACTGTTATAAATGATTAACCTATTGGGGAAGGCTTGGCAACGAGAGCGGTGCATGCCTCGTAAGGGGATGAAAGTTAACAGCAGCAACAACAACACGATCCATTAGGTTCAGCGCGCAAAGCCTCTCGTATACATTCAGCCGTTTTCTACTTGAGCGGATACACCTGTCGGACGACGTGCCACCCGTGCACACCGATGCGGAATCCATTGTGTGTGAACTGGAGCATTTGCTGGAAGAATAACAGAGCAATCATTTTCGATATATACGCAGATACACCCGTGCCTTTGTCTGCGTTAATTACGCGACTTTAATAATTAACACATATACCCTTTATGCATTTACGTTAATTATTCGCTTTTAATATGTTGAGTGTCATGAGGCCATCGGTGATGTAAAAACTAACGTGTCACGTTGACGTATGTGTACACACAAAATGCAATTATTGCGCAAACCATACGTTTAAGAAAAAAATCATATTTATAACACATATACCGCTAATACAGCGGAGCTGATTAAACAGAAATCGCTTTTCAATTAACATATTAATAATTATATTGTACTTTCAATGATTATTCGAAATCATCAATACCTGATGGTAATAATCAAAAGCGACAATGAAAACTTTCGGACAGGATATATATTCCATTTTATTACTTTTGCTATTCGAGATTAAAGTAAGGAATAGTAGAAGTTTATTCTTCTTCTGCGAGACTGTATATATTTTCATTCTGTAGTATCTCTTATAGGTCCACTTCTAGGTATATCCCGTCTCAGTTTCTAGAAAATATAAATTTTCAGTACTAATAAAGGACATTTGTCATCGTGAGAAATGCACGAATGTTTATCATCAATCGCTTCCGTTGCATCAGAGGGTGGCGATGTTCGCCAAGTTGTGAAAGTTGCACGCTGGAGAGAGAGAGAGAGAGAGAGAGAGAGAGAGAGAGAGCTCGGTAGAGGCCAACCGAGTTTATTGATCGAACACACTCCTAACACGTTTGTGGGAGCAGATAACGCAGAAGATTCCTCGCGATTCGCCTGTCAAAATCACCAACGTGGTGCTTTTTAATGCGAGTGCTTCCTCCGGCCTCCCACCCCCATCCGTCGTTGCCCTCGTTCTTCGCCGAAGATGAGACGTTACAGGTGCTCGCGGCCGTCTGTGTAAGCACAGACCGGGGGTGGCTAAGAGCCACGCTCGTACAAATGCTCGTCGATATCGGCGCTTGGCACGCGAGATCGTGTCGGCGTGATAGATCGCTATTATGATACACCGTCGCTTCGCGGGCTTTTACAATCGTACGGCAATCTATCACGCATCTGGCGTGAACTGCGTAGATTGTACGATTCTGTGTTTAATTCGGCTCGAAAAGCGAGCGCGTTTGAAATACTGATCTGTCCAACACAAAAGTTATAAAAACGTTTAACTGACGTTCAAAAAATAAAGACGTCTTTTATAATATTAACACCGACGTTAACACCGACGAATTGCTTCTTTGAATTGGACGCTTTTATAAACTCTTTCAGACTCTTTCTGTGCTCTCTTTCCGGAGGAGCATTTTACTTAGCGTGAAAATGTTGTACAATTATTCTGCAAACGACAAATTCGATATTTCAATCGTAGGATGTGCACGAACAGAGGTTATCATCATTTGAATTAAAGTTTTATTTGTTAGAGAATCCATTTTTAATTAGCCAGATGAGATTTATACTTGTTTTAGTCGCCGAGAGCTTTCCGCGTCTCTCCGTGATTGCCGTCAGCCTTCTGCCTCTATATATCCATAATGAAATTTCTGCCGAGATTAAACGGAAATGTTTTAAGGAGTCTAATGGCAGATTGATTTGTGGGTAGACGAATCGTCGTGCGTCGATTTTGCCGCTTTCATTAGACTAATTACTTCTTAGTCTCTGACAGACCACGAACGTATTCCCGGGGAACCGTTTCATCTAACATCGAGATGTACGAAGCATTCCATTCGCGTGATAAGCGGCGATCGATTTATTTTTAGTCTACCAATTTCCCGCGCGCCTGGTCGGACCATTTATCGTCCGGATACCGGTAAAAAGTGACGAAGGTCATTTATGAAGACGGACGGCTTCAAGTTCAGATGTCACACCATGGACCTCTTGTTCTCGGCGATAATATACTACAGACATATCGATCGATTCGGAGAACGGGGATCGTCGTCCGTGGCTTTATAATTAATTGAGCGCAACAAGTAGCGCTGAAAAGAATTTTCAAGTCGAGATAAAGGATTTGCGGCAATCCTTATCTTAATGGCGCTCCTTACTTCTAACCTTTCGGAGAAGGGCGTCGGCCCTTCGCGTGTGTAACCCGATGTCAGTAGCCGGCTGGCTAACACATGAATAGTCGCTTGCACGCGATGCTGATGAACATCGCGACGTCGTATAACACCGTCCCGGGCAAACTAAGGGTGGAATACGAATCTGCGGCTGCTAGGAAATCGATGTCTCGGTTCCTTACTGCGGCGCGTCACGCACACGATTTATCTCCGCATTAAACCGGATATCATGCCAGAATCGTTCTTGAGAGTCTGTCATATCGTAAGATATACACAGAGGTAGAAAGGATAATTTAAAAAATATCTTTTCTAGATGTAAATAATACAATGTATATCTTTAAATGGAAACAGATTTATTTTTAATAAATAAAACCAAAAGCTACCAAAGGTATTAAATGATATTAAAAGTTAAGATCTATACGAAATTTATATATTATATATGTACATATATAATTTATATTTAACGTGCGGTATTAACTGTTTAGTATTTAGAGGGTTTAAAATGATATTTGCGTGTAATTAATAATCGCATTTGATACTGAGATATCACAACCCTATTAAAAGCTGTAACTACCGAAAACTGATAGCTGCTAATTGTACGTACGATCGAAAACTCGCTGCATCGCGTCGCTCGCACACACATCTTGATTATCGATTTCGATTTGATCTTATATCAAATTTCGATGTGTCAGCATTCTCGTGTGTCGTAATGTCGAAGAAAAATTGTAATGTTCGAACGAATCGTGAATGTAATAATGATCGTGAATAGTAATACATTATTCAGTATTACTCGTATACGGACTCGTGTGGAATTTTTTTTTTCTACGCGCAGAGACACGCGATTAGATTTAATCGCACTTGTCTGCCTATGTCTGTTAAATAGACATTGAGAAACGCGCTGCGAGAAAACACAAGATGTTTAGATGATAGTCACTTCGCAACAACAATCGGTGCGATTATAGCGAGCTTTCATCGATCGACGCCAGAAAAAAATAATTCGAATCCTGTCAGAATAAAATTACGTGTTCAATTATTAATAATGATCGTGCTCTTAGCAATCAAGAGACGTATGTTATTCAAATACGAAAAATTCTGTAATTTGTTTTCATACTCATTAATGTCATTCTTACTTTTACTTTTATGAAATAATATTAACTGCTCGCAATACATTTCGATATTCAATAAATAATTTCCATGCAAATAATGAGAATTACATTTGTATATTAAAAATTGAGATTTATTCGTTTACAATGAAAATTGACAATTCTTTATTTACGGTAAATGAATCAGGGAGTCGTTAACGCACAAATGCGAAATATTTTCAATATTCTCATACATTCAACATTTCTCATACGCTTTTCATGCAATTTGTGTTACATATATTTAAAAAATCTCTTTCATGTATAGCAATAACGTGTACAGCCCTTTTGCGATCTGTTACCTTTAGTCAAAGAACTAAAAAATACCCAGCTATCTTTTCCTTAACAAAGACTCACGTGGTTCGAAAGGGTGAGCATGATGGTGATCCTTCTGAACTGCATCACGCTCGGGATGTATCAGCCGTGCGTGGACGACCAGTGCGTAACGAATCGATGTAAGATACTGCAGGTACGTACGCATATCTCGCGGCAGCTGGCTGGAAAGCGAAGAAAAAAAAAAGAAATTAAGAAGAGGAACCAGAGAGTAATCTGTGTTTAGCGCATTCGGATTTGAGAAAGCGTGGTGTATATAGCGTATCGGGATTTATTTAAGTAAGAGTCATTTCCATAAGAACGGCTCCCTGCGCGATCACGAGTATCGCATTTACATGTTCGCGTGCCGGGGAGAAAAGTCCGTTATCGGAATGGGAATATTTACAATTCAATTAAGTCTTAACTTACGGGGAATTTTCGCGCGAAGGCGGCGATTATACGGCGCGCCGATAAGCGAATTAATCGATTGCGCATCTTGACACGGTTTCCGGCCGGCTCGCAATTAGTCCAGCAAAGGTGGCGGAAGGAGGAGAAGGAGGAGCAGAAGGATGGGATGGGAAAGAGATGAGAAAATTACCGACATGGCACAGCCGTTAATCGAATCCTCTAGTAGAGTGCCCCTAAATCAATCACGGTGAATTACGTCGATCATACCCTGTTCTAATCAATGCCGTGTTCTCCTGCCTATTTCTTGCAGATGTTCGATGATATCATTTTTGCCTTCTTCTCCTTGGAGATGACCATAAAGATGGTGGCGATGGGGATTTATGGTAAAGGAACTTATCTCGCGGATTCCTGGAATAGATTAGATTTCTTTATAGTGTTGGCTGGGTAAGTATTTCATTTCGATACTTTATTATATTTACCTAATTTGAATTGCCACGTTTCAAAAAGTTTTTATACAAAACCTGCAAGAATCTGTGAAATGCATTATGATAAATAACGATATGGAATAAAATTGGACACTTTCTCAGTAGTAAAAATTGTAATAATTTTATAGTAATTATAACAATTAACTCAATTTTTTATTATTTTATAATACTTTACATATTTTCTGTTTGAATAATTGTGTGAAATGATATTATTAATTATTGTCTTTAATTCCTCATATCCTTGAATTTAAATTCAAAACTACAGTATTTAACATGCACATTATGCAGATTATTAAATATAACAATATATCATTTAATTATAAAATTTTACTGTGATAAATTTGTAAAAAAATATGTTAAAGAAGTTTAAAAAGTGGACTTGGTTGTAGCGCTGCGGAATACTGCCTAAACGTGGAAAATATGAATCTGTCAGCCATCCGAACGATAAGAGTATTAAGGCCGTTACGGGCGATCAATCGAATACCAAGTAAGTAACGAGATCTTTGCGATATGTCAGAAACCTCGATGGTTGACGGTTAACTCCAGTTTGCTTCCGTCGTCGATTTCACGGTGCATTGCTAGGTGCATAACCGCCGCGTATAGATCGTAACGCATTCACGGTTGATTTCATCTTGGAATTGAAACGTGGCGAAGGCAGAGGAGTACATATAATCATATCGAACAAGAACAAGTAAAGTTGGCAAGAAGAGGCATTTAGCTACAAAGATCGAAATTCAAGGTTAAAATTCGCGAAACGTGTACACGCGTCACGGAACTCGAGTCTCTTAATTTTGATAAGAAACCCTGAGATCGAAAATTATAAAATGTTGAAAAGAATTTTGCGCGAACTATTTTCTAAGGCAAAAATTTAAATAACAAAATCTAATTGCGGCTTCAAATTTCTTTCTTGGAATTTAACCGCCAATGACTGATGTATTTAACATTGGACGCTAAAAATTTCAACAAATAAAGGTGCAATTTCATGAGACGCTCGTTTTAGCGTTAAAGCCATGGCACACAGAAAAACTTAAGCAGTAAGACGTAAGCAGTAAAGAAATCAACATGTTAGATTTTTGGTAATCACATGACTTTGACTTTGACGCTAGCGTCAAAAAAAGAAGCTGGATTTTCTCAGCTTCAGCGTCAAAGACTGTTGTTGTTTTGTTCTGAACATTTTGGATACAAATGATACAATTGACGTTAAACTTGATATTGTCGCTTTTCGTGCAAGCCAACTATGATCACGTAATTTTGACGTCAAAAATGAGCGTCGAGCGTCAGCATGAAAAGGCACCTTAATGGTTTCACCAGAAAGATTTTTTAAAATATAAATAGAATGCGATATTTGTGTCTATTATTAAAATTAAATAAACATTCAAGTCATTTCACGATATATTTTCAAATTGTATTTTTATAAGAAAGAAAACAAAAAATCTCAAAATAACATCAGATTATTTCAATATCCGAGGAAGAAATCTCAAAATAGCATCAGATTATTCCCGTATCCGAGGAAGAATACATATTGCAAGCAGAATCGATGTTGCCTTGGTTCAAAGAATTCGATAATATCGACGAAGCATTACACATTTGTGCGTTACTAAAGCGCTTGCAAACGTTATTTTCACAAAACACCTCCGATAGGTATGCGAATATTGGTGATGCTGCTGCTCGACACCCTTCCCATGCTGGGCAACGTCTTATTATTGTGCTTCTTCGTCTTCTTCATATTCGGCATCGTCGGCGTGCAGCTGTGGGAGGGCATACTGCGCCAACGCTGCTTCCTCAAGGCTCTGCCCAACATCAAGTATCCCGAGTAAGTCGGCGTGAACCTTAGGTCCGCGGACTAATCAATGACTATAATATATACATATATACATATATACTTTTTTTTTATTATAAATGTTCGACTTCGATTCTTCACATATTATTGCGCCTCACGCTGCATCGCATCTCGTTTTATTCTCTTCTGTCTGTCTTTCGATCGCTGTGCAGTTTGAAGCGCTTTGTCGCCGATCGTCGCATTTCCGCGAGACGGCGAAACGTGTGGGACTCTAAATAGCTCACATCCGGCAATTCGTCGTTAATCAGAAATTTTTCGCGACATCGTGCACCTCGAACACGGTGAACCACAAAGCGTCGCGTTCAGCGCAAAACGGTCTTTCGATTTTTTTTTAGCAATTTCCATTTAAGGCTTATCGTAAAAATGGATTTAGCCAAGATCAACATTTGCCGTATTCGAAACACTTTCGCTTCTGTGTAAAAATTCTATTTTGAGAGCTTTTGCAATAACATACGTCGAAATACAGTAAACGCTACGGCCGTGCGACACGACCAGGAGGACAAATTTTATATATATCATCATAATATTTACACATATTTTATTATCTGCAGGCATATTTGCGTTTACCGTGTTCAAAGCATGCTATTGCATAAAAAAGTCTACCACTCTGCGTACGCAATTTTTTGCTCGACAATTTTTTGCTTAGCTAGATAATATTTCTATTTGACACGCCTGCAATTTGTTTTTCGTCACCTAAGACGATGCGCGGGTCTCCTCGGGTCATTTTTGTCTGGGGACCTGCGTCTACAAATGGAATAGAAGGGTTTCGCGGCGAATCAGCCGCGTACGTGCACGCGAGATTTCGGGCATCGAGCAAACTTGGTCGTGCGGTTCATTCGCGCGTTGGGCGGAGCCCAACTGTAATCTAATATATCCAGATTGCATGGCGAGTAGCTCCAGTTGTCGCAACGCATCGCTTGCCGAGTTTTTCTTGCTGTAAATTTAACGCTCCGCTCTTTTTCTCCCCTTTGCTCTCTGTCTTTCGCCAGTTCTTCTCTGCGTCAGTATTTTGCGCTCGATCCGCTTCTATCAGACGATCGATATTTGCTCAGAATACAGTGCAAACTTCGTAACTCATGTTCACTCCGCTCGGCTTATCACGAAACTATCCCAAAAAATATCATCATCTCGAACTCGAGATGGACGCGAAAGTGAATAATTAAACACTCTTAAATCTTATTTATGTAATATTGCGTTTGTCGCAAGCAACAGAAAATATGTCACGAATATAATCTGCACATCTTTTTTCTTATATTTTTAAATATTCTTTTTTTTACTGGAATATCTATTACACTTTAGTACACATACTGAAGCATATGCGATGTCTATTTAAAAAACAAGAATGTTTATTTAAAAAAAAACAAGAACAATTTTAGTTTCTTTTAACAGTATTTTTTTTCATTATTGATAATTTATTTGAAAACTTTTGCGGATCATTGATATTAACGCGAAATCTTGACATAAAGGAAGATCTCTGTAAATGTAAAAATTGCAAGTTACTTTTCAAAAAGACATTTATTTATTTTGCGTAACGCAGTGCAAAAGAAAAACAATCTTCACATTTCTTTTTCTGTCACTTGAATAATTTAGTACGCGACAAACATCAACCTTGTTCTATCGATCCTAACATGGATAACCTTTTTTTTTTTAAGTGAAAACAATTATAAGCACTTACAGCGACCTTTCTGTCAAATGTTCGGATATCGATTTGAGATTGTTGGCGCGTTCTAGATGAGAAAGATATCATCGGTGGCGAAAGGGACCATGAGAAGTTCGTGAAAAGCCCTGGATGGATCAGTATGTTCTACTTCCTCTGAACTTTTGCTTTACAGGAGTATATATCACGTTAGGCGATCTAAGCCGCTCTTCTCACTCTCCTCCCTTGTTCTCTTTCTTTCTCTCTCCTTTTTTTCTTTCTTTCTCCCTCTTCTGCTCCTCGTGACTAAAAAAAAATCTAGACATGTAAGTACATGACCCCCAGGGAGGCAGTGACAGGCTATTGTTTCGCTGTTGCAGGTTACTCTCGGACGAGTACTCGGTTCGATCACGCATTTAGTAAGCTCTAGTAGAGAACAATGTGCTGTACATACATATATATCTTTCTCTATCTCTCACTCTTCTCTCACTCTTCTCTCTCTCTCACTCTTTCTCTCTCAATAATATATACCTATATGAATCACAAAATATACATACACGTGGCATCCATATGTACATATATGTATATACATGCAACCATACGTAATGTGCAAATGTATATCTCTTTCTTTCTCTCTTTCTTTTTTTTTCTTTCACTCTTCCTCTTTCACCCTTTCTCTCTCTCTCTCTCTCTCTCTCTCTCTCTCTCTCTCTCTCTCCAACTCTCCCTCTGTTTCTCCCTCTTTTATTTCTTCTTTCTAAACCAATGTGCGACTGTACAGTAGTGTGTACTCACATAGAGCATGTCGAGTCGACCGACAACGAATTAAGACACTATTTCGTATACTGGCTGCCCGATCGAGGAGACGATGATTTCGAGATCCCCGAGAGCGAGAGAAGAGATCTACCCTCACAAACTTCGAGATATATAGCATTTTAGTGTCCAGGCTACTTCACACTTATGTACTAGCACTGAAAAGCTCTCCTCCCACACACGTACATAAATCGCGCGGTGCACGATTCGAAAGGCGGGGATACACCGATGACGGAGGAGGGATCCGTAATTTGTGGGCGACCCGAAAACTCAACGTTTCTCCGACGAGATTACTCCGACACCTCGGGATCTCTTCGGCTACTTCGATGCACGAGTCCATGTTCTCTCTCTTCTTTGCTCTAGACATACCTTTTTCGTGGTTCACGTGCCTCTCTTATCTTTCTCACTCTCACTGTCCCTCTTCACTCTCCGCCTCTCTATTTTATCCTCCCTCAGCGTGTGTCTAGTCGATAAGCATTAACGATGCTTTCTGCATATGTGAACTCTATCGTTTAAGCAACTGTATGTGTGTGTGTGTGTGTGTGTTTTTTTTTGTGTGCGTGTGTGTGTGTGTGTGGCATCGGTGATCTCTGTGGTTTCACTACATCGCACTGCTTTCACGGTATCCGTATCCTTCCGTTACGTAAAGAGAGTCCCAAACTCCGCGATTCATGCATTAAACAACGAGATTTTTTGGTCCTTGGATGTGAAGTTGACGTTTCCCTGAAATGGGAAGTTTCTCGTCTCCAATTCCTTACGATTGCAAGAGATTGAAGCTTCGGCATTTTAAGGAAGAATCGACGCGTTGCCCCAAGGACCCCATTACGTGGAGCATGAACGCGATTATACTCACAGGCACTCTGGGTACCAGTGACGTTGCCGTCAATGATTATGAAACGAGCCGAATTCTAGACTTTCACATCCGCACGTCTCACGGGAACGTTCTGTTCCCGATACGATTACGACATGCTCAAGGAGCAGGAAGCTTCGTCGCACCGTTTCAAGATCTGCCGTCCTTATAGATGCATACTTGCGCGCCCGGGGTGCATACTACCCCCCGGAGTCGCTTTAACTTCGAACTCGCGTGGCGCGATAGCGCAAGAGAAGAGTCTCCATAAAGCTCCAAGCCCAAGCCCAAGAGAGAGAGTGCTAATTAAACGCGCGGTGCTCGCGCGGTCTATTCCGGTATACGTAGCAGCTATTTTCGAACGTTTATCGACTTCTGCACCGGCGTTATACTGCCGTTCCTGCGCCCTGGTAGCGCAGCGCTGGAGCCACGCGGATAGCGATGGCCCTGGAAAGCGATATCAATTTTTATTAAAACACGCGAGCCAAGTGTATTCTTGAAAAGGCATCAACGTTTCTCTCGCCGATTGCCGATATCGAAATTCGCGAGAATATCAGAAGCAATATCGCAATTGATTTAGCTTTACGTGCAATAAAGTTCGAAGTAACACACGGATTTAATTTGGAAGATAACAGATATGAATGCCATCGGGAGTTTTGTCTTATAGAAACTATTACGTATCCGCTTGCTTTCCTTGAGAACATCGAAATGTTATCGCTATTCGCATAGAGCTCGCATGCCAAAATGCGCTCACGCGAACGGGTATCAAGGCAATCAGATTTTTGTGATCACAATTCCGTAATTTGTTATAATCTCTTTTGCTTGAAGAGAAAGGCATCACGATGAACAGACTAAATGCAGCGTATATTGTAATAAATGTAGAAACTAAGATTGTCCGATGAAATTTAATTACAATTGCTTCCCATATTTTTCTTTGTGCGACACCTTTTCGCGAAGCTTCTAGACATCTATTTGAAATCATATATTTTACGATCATTTCCAAGTTAAATTGATTTCGCATCAAGGCGCAGGCACGAATAGGAAAAGTTTATTGCAATACCAGAGTCACGACGAAGCAATATTATGGGGATTAATATTGTTGTTTGAAAGTAGGACATCTGGTCACCTTATAAATATATAACATACGAGAGGATCTAGAACGATGGGCACGATCAGCACAGCGAGCACAAACGTGAAGCACTCACGCCTATGCCCCGTGTTAAAGGCACGCAAATTAAGGAGAACACAGGCGATCACGTGCACACCGCTAATTAAGCATACATAGCGTGTGTTTGGATAAAATTGTGTCGCATTATTTTCGCAAGTGTAACGCCTCATAATGCAATATTCCTCCATCGCTCCATTTTTTTTTCTGTCCGGTCAATGAATTTCATGGCGCTATATTCTAGATGAGTATCAAGAAATATGATATTTCAACATGATGCCGTTATAATATTCAAGAATATCAGTGCAAAGCGAGATAAAGTACGTGAAGTGAAATCAATCATCTGATTTTAACGGGATTATCAATCACGAGAACGTCTGAGAATATCCAGAATAAAAGACGCCATATTGCGATAGAGGAGTATAATCGAGCTCGGAGAAAAGATGGCACAGTACCCTCCTAAAGGGCTGGCATATAAAATTATGAATTATCCGTCACAGACCTGAAACGTCACATGTTTGCCCATATTTCACGTTAATATATTCAGGATTACATGCGCGTATCTATCCGCGCATGAGAGAGAGAGAGAAAGAACGTTTCGGTTTTGTTTTCTATACGTACCTCTTAATATCTATAGTAATAATTATATCAAGTAATTATTTATATACTCATGTATTAAACGACGTTTCGATTCACGACCGTCTTTCAGACGTCAAAGCTCGATATCTTTCCAATTTTTTTAAAAGCAAGATTTTATTTGCATAGCTCGACAACGGCGTAATTTGTAATCTTTTCGAAGCTAGAAAGCGGCCGTTCATTTTTTCGACACCCATGGTATTGCCGAATGCGATTCTCCGCGAAGGAACGTGTTAATTGTGTTTCTTTTCGCACCAGCCGGCTTATTTTCGGCGTGAAAACCAGCCGCGTGCACGCAAACTCGTGTCGGTATATATTTATATATACGTATATCTGCATTTGCCTATATTTCTCTCAATCGTTGCGCACGTACGTTTGTACATCAGCATCTATACGTGTACGTATAATGTACTATATAAGGTGTCCAAGAATCATCGGACGAGCTGTCGACCAGTGATATATAAACAGGGTCGAAAGTGTAGGCATGACAAGGCCGATGGGGAAAGCGCGCCCGATTTCCCGAACGACGCGCGCTTTATTCCGAAGCAATCTCGGTGCGAATGCCGCGTTAAGCATGTATCGATCAGCCACGCGAATCAGTGCCACAGCCGCGTTACGCTGACAATGATTTGCGCGGCGTAGGTCGTTTTACGATTAGCCTTCATTCGTATGCATGTATACATCCTTCGGAACCTATAGCACGGAGAAACCTATTCCGATCGATCGCTGTATATTTACATATTTTCGGGTCGGGTTTCCACTACCTCTTTCTACACAAAAAAAAACGCCGCACTGGGAGCTCCTCCGGTAATTCTGCGACCCTCTCTGGATATTATATATATTATGAATATATGAATATATAAATGTGGAACGAATTTCTAAAAGCCATCATCTGAAATGTGGCTTCTTATATCACACAAATTGCAATTCTTTTTTTCGGAGATGTGTGCCTGCTTGTATTAAAATTTAAAATTATTCAAAATTGTATTCGACCATCGAATTTATTTTTTATCCTCGGCAAAGTCGCCTTGATATTTTTAAATAATACGAAATTCACGAAAAAAATGTTTTCTTGATTTTATTCCGTTTTTAATCACTTTTTTTTTAAATCAGTGTATAAGAAGTTGTATTAGACGATAGTTTCTAGTGACTCGTTCTATGTACGTTTACGCTATACATACTATATATATTATATCAAACACGCTCTGCATACCCTATACATACAATGTACGCATAAGCGAAGCATGCGAAGAGTGCATCCGTGCATAATAAGGCATACGTACGCAAGTCTTTAAACTTAAGATTCTGTACGCGGGAATCGGTGTGCGTAGATTTTTAATCGTCGCCCCGTTGGTTTTCCAGCGATCTGGAGAAGTATTTCGAGTATCAGGGTCAGGATTACATTTGTTCGCGTCCCGACGACAGCGGGATGCACTCCTGCAGTAATCTGCCGCCTCTCAAACTAGGTGAGTAACGTCCTCGTCCCCGTCAAAAAATTTCGGATGAATTTGCAGAATATAATTTAGTGAAATGTATAGCGCAATATACTCCACTAAATTTAACTCTCTAACAATCACGTAGAATTAAATTAAAAGTGCTTTATAGGTCGCTCGAAAAAAAAAAAATTCTAGAATTCCAAAACATTTTGTATACGTTTTTAAACTCTGAGGAGAGATGCTTTGACAAATGTTGGAGTGAAATTTTCTTCATTCCGAGCTACCCAATATTTTGAATTCACCACGCACTCGGATAACTGATTGCTTCATCACCGTAATCGAACGCAAACGGCGTTTTTCGCATTTAGGGAACTTGGTGTGCAACAGTACCGCCGTGCCAAACAGTAACGTCACGTACATCAACAATGATACCTGCGTTAATTGGAACTACTACTACACCGAGTGCAAGGGCCAGGGCAACAATCCATTCCAAGGAACAATTTCGTTCGATAACATCGGTCTCGCCTGGGTTGCCATATTTCTTGTGAGCGCTTTAGTTACTCGTCCTACATTCGTTCGGAATAATTTTACGTATGCATGTGTACGACGTACATTCGGAACGTGTACATGTAGCACGGAATATTTCTCCCATTTATAAGTAAAACACTTTTACGGCGCCCGAAAGTCGATGGAAACGCGGATCGCCGCGCATTAGTCCGCGATAGTGCCAAGAGAAAAATTACGCTATCGGCGATATTGCGGAACGACGAATTGGTTTTCATTCGATAAGATGTTATCGCGAGAGAATAATGTGCTAGCTGGAAGGCTTCGTATTTCAATATGAAAAAAAAAATGTGAGGCTTCATTTTCTTTGCAACGTATATTTCCTTCTAACGCGTTTGTAGCATGACTCCCCTGAATAAGCTTTCTTTAATTTTTAATGAAAATTCAGCCGTAACGTTTTAATATCTTAATTTCACTCCGTGTAATCTACCTTAATTTATTAAATAGATATTAAGTTTGCCACGTCGTTTCGTCGCGATTTCGCCGTAACGCTGAGTAGCGCAATCATGTTGATTTGTAGGTAATAAGCCTGGAAGGATGGACGGACATAATGTATTACGTGCAAGACGCCCACTCCTTCTGGGACTGGATATATTTCGTTCTCCTGATAGTCGTAAGTGTTTCATTTCCTATCCCGATTGCATGGCGAGCGCAATATGTATTATAAAACATAATGAGCAATGTGCGCTACTTCTCACATTCGCGTATTTTCCATCGGATTTACATCGCATCGTCAAGATAAATCACTTTTTTTTTACAATGCAAATATATAATGAAAGTGCGTCATTATTAATAGTCACGGCTTTAATGAACATCTGGTAGAGCGAAATTGCAATATGATCCGTGAAAAGATGTAGCGATAATGATTACAATATAAAAATAAAATAAACGCGATACGTTATGAAAGAATTGAAGGCCTATGGTTTAAAGAGAGCCCGCGCGTTTGCAGATCGGCTCGTTCTTCATGATCAACCTCTGCCTGGTCGTAATCGCGACGCAATTCTCGGAGACGAAAAAACGGGAGATGGAGAGGATGCGGCTGGAGCGAGCGCGTTACCATTCGACCTCGACGCTCGCCTCGTCCACGAATACCTCGGAGCCTACTACTTGTTATGCCGAAATCGTCAAGTGGGTACTCGTCATCGTTGCACGTGTCCCCCGAGGACGCTGCTCGCGCGCGAGCCGGAGGTTGCCTCCTCGTCGCCTCGTTTCGCGAACGGAAGATTCACCGGCGCCCCGTGCTTTACGATGGATGACAATTTGATGTCTCTTTCCAGATACATCGCCCACCTCTGGCGACGGGGTAAACGAAGACTGATGAAGAGATATCGCCTGTGGCTGTACAGGAAGCAGCAGCAGCGGGAGCAGAATCTACTCAAGGATCAGCAGAGTCAAGTGTCTCGTTCGAACGCCGCTGCTGTCGGGCCGAATCGCGTACCGGGCGGTAAATAATATTAAATTAAAAAATCAAATGTTATAAAGAAGAGAGAGAAAAAATTCAAATACGGAAATGGAAGTCCGAAAATACCTACGATACGCTAGTATCAACTCGAACTCTTGAAATTGTCGCACATTCAGATAGAAGACTGCATCACGGAAGGTGTCCGCGGCTCCTCGCCGCGCTGGAATATGCGGAGCAACAGCAACAGCAGCAACAGCAGCAGCAGCAGGCTATTAATGGTAACGGTGGATCTGTCGCCGATTTCGCCACGCTCACGTCCCCGACACAATCTGCGATGGCAATTGCCGCTGCCACGACTGTCGGCAACAGCGTCGGTGGTAGCGGAAACTCGGGCACCGCGCCTCGTGCTAGCCCCGAGCTTTCCGAGGCCGAGACTCCCGCGAACATGTGCCACCGATTGAGCGTCCACCGCACCTCGTCCGTGTCCTGTAACGGAAGCGAGGCCGCCGTCGTGGGAAACGCGGCCGAGGCAAGTACAGATATCGTAGATATGCATGCGAGAAACACGAGATTTTTCACGCGTTAAAAGAGAAGCGGCGCAACTGAAGTTGAGTAAATGAAATATCGGAAAATGATTTTTCCAATAATACATAATGGCTAAGTAATCAATTAATTAATTAGCCTAAAGTGAGATAAATAATGAAGCGATACAGAAGTATTGGCTTTAGTATTGGAAATTTATAACGTTATTTCGTTTCTCCAGTGATCTCAATTATGCCGCTTGAATTTTTTGCTCTCTAGAAATATTACACTCGACTTTGATCTTATATACAGTAGGCAGCTGTAGGCAAGCAAGAACATGAATGACTCGTTTAGCGCTCTTTCCGTTCAGCTATTCTCTTCGCTGACATTTATCTTCTGCTTTATATCGAGATAGTAGTGTATCTCATAGCGATTATACACGTGCTTTTACCATGTAGAGGAACGTTAGCGTTAATTTCATCACGTATTCCGTCCGGTTTTCTCACCGACGGCCAGTAGAGAAGTACGTTTGCACAAAGGGAACGGTGATTTTGAGCTTTAGGTACGGCAAGATAAAGCGCAAGTTTAAAGTTTCTCCCCTTAATGCTACAAGTTTGGGCCGAGAACGGTTATGCGAGAGAGCGCCTGTCGTAGTGTGTAACATGCGTAACGTATGCTTGATTATCGCCTTCTAGACGAACAGCACGTTGTTGAGTCCACCATGTACGCATTATCGGAGAAGAAGCAGCGTAATGTTTAGCGACGTGGTACTGCTCCATGGCAGCAATAATGTCGGGAATGCGTTGCAGCCGGGGTTGACGGTGACACCGGGCGAACGTAACGTCTGCTCGAGCGAGAAGATGACACAGACGGGCGATGGTAACGTTTGGTCCAGTCCGCTGCCGGACCACGCACAGGTAATCTCCAACTGCCGTGGTTGCTCTCCGTAAAAAATCGCCGTGGTCCCTTCCTTTCTTAATTTAAGGCGTACTGTCGCAGATGCAAGCCGAGCTGGGTGGCAACGAGGCTATGACGTGTCAGGAATTGTTGGCTCTCAGCGGTGCTCTCAGCGCTGCTCTGCCCACCGGCCAGCTAGCGCTCGATTCGTTTCTAAATTCTCTCACGAAAGGCAAGTCAATTTGATATACGACGAACATGATTTATCATGAAATCGAAGTGCACGAATTATTACGGATTCCCGTGTAAAAACGTTCCGACGATCTTTTAGACGTTGAGTTATCGTTACGTTCAATTTTCAGAAATATTAAAATGGAAGTTATTGTGAAAATGATCTAAAAATCATGACAATCTTTTTATAGAAATATTATATTTTTAACAGATATTTTAAATTTCGATAAACATAAATGCTCGTTTGAATATCTATTCTCTTTTTAAATTTAGAAAATAATTACACAAATGGCTAAATAAATTCATGCCTAGCCAAGACGGAAGAAGAAATATGAAAACGTGTTAAATATCTGTTTCGCAGGTATAACAGATCGTCACATCACGTTGGAAGAACGCACGCAGTGGTTGACGTCTGACGTTGACAATTGTTCCTGTTGCTGCGAGTTGCAAGGAGGTGATCAGTGGCCGGACGACGGCGAGAAATCATGGCAAAAATCTTCGCGGCCTAGACGGTTCCTGAGACGCGCCGTCAGCTGTTGTATCTGCACGTTGCGCTGTATAAGACGGTGGATCAAGAAGCTCGTCGAGCACAAATACTTTCAGCAGGGTATTCTGCTGGCGATCCTCATCAACACTTTGAGCATGGGAATCGAGTATCACAATCAGGTGATTCCTCACTCGAATCTGCCTAAATGTTAATTCAATGTCATTTCGGATCTTTTTCATGATTACTTTTTGTTTTGTCATTTTATGTTATGAGCGGTGATATTCCTTATCTATACTTTGTGTGTAAAAAGCAGAAGCTGCTCTGTAATATTATCGCAATCTCGATAATCGCAGCAAAATGAAGATAATGTTCCGCGTAATGTAATTACTAATTATGTTATATTATGTGTACGCAGCCGGAACAATTAACAGTGGCCGTTGAGATAAGCAACATCGTATTCTCGGCAATCTTCGCGGTGGAAATGATGCTTAAGGTAATAGCGGAAGGTCCGTTCGGTTATATCAGTAACGGCTTCAACGTTTTCGACGGCATCGTCGTGATCCTGAGGTAGGGCAACTCTCTTCATAAATTTTCATATATTACGATATAAGAAAATAACCGCGCTCTCGTAAATAATATTAAATAACGGTAATATTTAAAAAAATCTCATACGCAGTACTGATGTCATTGCAAAACGCATATACGCGCGCACGCGATTCTCAGCGCAATCCCCTCAATCTCGTAGTCACATTTCGATTTTACGAGAGAGTCATAACAGACGATAGCAGATTGTTGTGGCTGTCTCGTAAAACTCGTCGCGAACGGATCGTCTATACGAACGAGCTGACAAACGATAACGTAAATGCACTCATTGCAACGCGTTTACAGCGTCGTCGAGCTCTGCCAGTCGGTCGTGGAGGAGCGCGGCTCCGGCAGTTCCGGTCTGAGTGTCCTGCGTACCTTCCGCCTCCTCAGGATCCTGAAGCTGGTGCGATTTCTGCCCAATCTGCGACGCCAGCTCTTCGTGATGCTGCGCACCATGGATAACGTTGCCGTATTCTTTTCTCTTTTAGTACTTTTCATCTTTATATTCAGGTAAGTCGCCGTCCTGTCCTCGTCCGCGTCAGCGACACCGCCGGAATTCCGGGCCTCCGCCGCCCGCGTCGCCGGATCTTCTCTCCGTTTCCGTTTTCTCTGTTTCTTTTCTCTTTTTTTTTTCTTGCGTGTGTGGTCGCTCGCCCACTTCGCGAACCGGTGTCATCGCCGTTGAGTAATAAAATTCGAGTGAGTTCGACCGCGAGGAAACCGCCCGACCGAACCTACGCGTCGCGTTTACTCGGATTATGGGGCGCTGTCGCGTCTTCCTGTTCTAATTATCATCTCATCAGCCTAGTAACGTTTGCATGTCTGGCAAGGCGGATCGAAGTTACGAAACTGCCGATAGGTATTGTAAAATAAAATGAGCAAGAGCTATGAAATATGAAGCGTCGATGACGGCAATAGCGATCGATTCTGAAACAATATAAAATATGTGGCTTACGGGAAAGTCATGAAAAAGCTCGATGGGTTTTTGTGTGTTTTGTAATAACATATTCATATCGCTCCCGGCAATAATGGCGATAGAAGCTATGTTTAATAATCAAATTTTATCCACGCTATTCGGTAGCTTTGTAAATATAAAAATAATAAAATATGATGTCAGAGTTTCATGATTCTCTTATTAAACAAATTGTTTTTAGATTAAAACGTCCTTTCTCTCTAACGCTTGAAAAAAAAATAATGTAAAAGTCTTAGAAAAAGAAGAAAAATTTTCGCAGATATTATTTTTATTTATAATACCACATGTATTTAAAAATACATATAAATAATTATAAATTTTCAGATTAAAACAAAATTTTAATTTATCTTCGTTTCTTTCTTTTCCTTTATTGAATATTCATTGAGCATCATGTCAAATTTAATTACGCCGTGTTTATTTGGTTATACGATAATAGCGACACACTAACTAATAATATCGTCGACGCTCGATATTTCGAAAACCAGTTTCTTGCTCGCTTCTACGAGCTTTCGAGCTTCAGGAGCAAATCGCGCGCCGCTGCTCTTCGAGCCGAGGCCTACATTAGGTGACTGTCTTCCGTTCATACCTATCTCTTCTACTTTATTCGCTTTTACTTTGTTTCCGCGCGGTGTATGAGCCGCCACCAAGTTAATGCATATCACATATATATATATATAGAAGTTCTCAAGTTTTTACCAGCAGTTGTCCCGTGTTCTCGCGTTCTCTTAGCGTTTCTTTGAGCGGCATATTTTCTGACGTTGTTAATGGTAATGACGATGGTATTTGTTGGCACGATCTATTACAAGGGGGTGGCCGGTCTGCCGCCGGCTCCTCCTTTATAGCTTGAGGCATCGAACGTACTTTCGACGTTTACCTAGAAGATATATCTATATATAAATATATATATACGTATATGGAATATATATTTACATGTGTGCATGTGATGCTTTTCTGCTGGACGTCTTAGCGACGAGTATGAAAGGCTATATGTATATATATATATATTTACTATCATCATATTCTTGATTTATATTCATATATACACGTGAATCTCTTTCCCGCTCTGTCGTTCTCTCTACTGCTACTCTGAGCGCCTATATTAAAAGTGCGTGCGCCTCGGTGTGGCCCTCGATATTAGAAACAGCTTGCGAATGTTCGACATATATATATATATCCTCCCCCCTCTGCAGAATTACATATATATACATATATATATATCTCGTCATGCTGCGTAGGATTTCCCGCTATATAACATCCGTGCGTTTACGACGTGTTTTACGACCGTTCGATAGTCGATCTGCCGTTCACCGCAGCCGCAGCCTTCGCTATTGCGATCTCGATACTGCAACTGATTGCCCGATATCTGCCGCAAACACGTGAACGCAAACATTGAAAATCTCGCTATACTTGAATAACTTTAATAATTAATTAAACGTTTGAAGGTAAAAAGAGAAATATTATTATTATTATTGGACATGTTATTAGTAATCTTAAAATATTGTTAAAATGCTAAATTCTAAAAATTGGATTATTTTTTTAAACACAAATTAAAATGAGAGAAAGCCAATACGATCATAGCTGATAGCAGGATCTTTTTTAAATTATTTTTTTGTAATTCTTTTAAAAATTATTTCTTAACAGTCGCGACAGCAAGAATATTCTTAAACATTTTTTTTTTATTAGAATAGAATCGACAATTAATATTTTGTCACGCGTAAAGGACAATACAATTTATACACCGATTTTTCGAGGAAAAACGTGAGGAAAAAACATTCAGCAACGTCGCGCATCTGACGCAAATCCGGGTGATCTTTTTTCCGTTCAAAAACTCTCTTCAAGATAAAGTGAACCGTCGGAAGTGAATACAAACTCGTACGAAACTATGCAAATGCTCGCGGGTACGTCTCTGCGCGCCGATCCCGTAGACATCTACTTCGACGGCCATCTCTAGGTGTTTGCATCCTTCTTTAGCCGCAAGTCGCGAATGAAGTTTCCGACAGATCCGCTTTAGAGGAATTTTTCCTTCCTTGATCGGTCGACGTGCGCCTAAATAACGAAGTACTGTCGATGTACTTGCATCGGGATCGCAAGCAAGATATCCCGATCTTATACTCGGCCAAGGTTTTAGATTGTACGACGAAAGTTCACGTCAAAATCGATTCGGGCTCTCTCGAGCGCTTCTAAAGATCGGTATCGTCGCATCCCACATATTTTTCTTTATGAGATACGCCGTGTACCCACGGACATTATACTTTACGACGCGTAAAGATCGCGAAAGAATGTCGCTCGATCGATTCTGCACTTTCGTCGTGTTACGAGACACATGATATATACGAAATGTCGTAAAACAACCGGATATTTTCATTCAACCATAGATAAATTCAACGTTGAATGTTACTTTATGCCGGGGCTTCTGCAAATTAGTTGATTCTAATTAAGATAAACTTCACTGAAATAGGTTTCTAATTTAATGTTCCTTCTCTGTCTCTCACTCTCTCTTTCAAGATAATTAATATTTAAAGTTAAAAGCTAAAAATGATAATTTCCCGGAAAACTCTCTTTAAAGAAAATCCTCTTTCATCTATTTTTATCATTGAATTTATGATAGGTGTTGAAAGGGTATCCGGTTTTAAAACATCTTGTATATACGCATTTTGAACTGATATTACTTGGTCGAGTTATGCTTTATAAATCGCGATTCTGTCTTATTGTTAATCGAGCTTTATGCCCCCTCTCTTTCTTTCTGTTTATTCTCTCTCTTTTTTCTATTTATCATTCTTTGTCATTTTATTTCAGCTACGTATATATATATATATATATATACATATATATATGGATAAGGAAGTACATTGCACGTTTCGTTGTGTTGTAGTATTCTCGGGATGAACCTGTTTGGTTGCAAATTCTGTGAAACGATGAAAGGCAGCTCTGACGTCGAGTGTGATAGGAAAAACTTTGACTCGTTACTCTGGGCTATTGTGACGGTGTTTCAGGTACCTACCAAAAAAAAAAAAAAGAAAACAGAAAGAAAAAGGATACTTTTTCATGTATCTTCTCGAGGGCATTTTTGACTTCTCTATATAGTGTATACTTATATATTTATTCGTGCATATTATATATTAACGTTGTTACTACACCGCATCTACATATATATATATAATACGCTAAGTATACATACGTACTGTCACGTTTTTGGTTTTTCGACAAATTTATAAAGTCGTGCGATCTCTCGCAACGTGCGTCCGCCTGCACTTTATATGATTTCTCTGAGGCCTCAGGTAACGTATATAATTGGGAGATAAGCCAGCATGTCGTCGTCACTTCTTCGACAGGGAGGGGAAGGGGAGGGGGAAAGGCAGGAGGAGGCTACCGACTTTAATAGAGAAGTAATAAAGACTTTAACGAAGTATTATATAAGAGGTTCTTTCTCCAAGGAAGATCATTCTTCAGATCGTCTTCAGCATCTTTTTTTGCGACGGATACATTGAGAAAGGGGATGGGGAGAAAGAGTCTGACCAGTGCCGGTGCTGGAGACGCTCATAGACGCGGCACACGCGGATTATCCGGAGTGGATTGTCAAACGTTGCATACGATTGCCGGCGAGAATCCCGGTGCTTCTTCGTTTCGCATTCATCCGTCGCTTCACAAGCACAAACACGCGCGCGTTAATACGCTGCCTCCTGCCGCGTCTTGTGCGAGCGCGTCGAGCTGGCTCCCTTCTGGCATGCCTTCGCATGCACCTGTTCTCTCTCTGTGTGTCGCAATGACGAGTGAAATTACCTGCATTTCACAAGTGTTTTAAGGAATAATTATCAAAATTAACTTCAAGCATAATTATCAAAATTTTGGGCATATAATGAAAGAAGATATAAAAGAGTAATATGATAATGTATGATGCCGCGACGTAATATTGGATCTATTAATGAGTTAATTTGATCGAACGTGTTTTCAGAAACTTAAGATTTTTGTGAGAATGCAGGCATTTTCGCTCAGGCATTGAGAAAATTCTGCTTAGACGCTTCGCATATACTCATTCGCTTATCCCTGTGTCGGCGATGTTGATGTTACTTTTATATTGATGTTATATCGATGTTATCAGAACAGATAGTTTTGTTATTAATGTTCATTGTGCCATTGGAATCTTTTACGATAGTAGGAAACTCCGAAGGCCGGTATATAAAAATTTTGCCGATAGAGTCTCGAAGCGAGTTTCGAACAATGGAAACACATCGGTGTCGATCGTTTCCGTACGTTCGTCGCACGTCAGTGGATAATAAACGTCCATTATGCGCGTCAAAACCAGGAGCAAACAAAACAAAACGTTTAGATTACAAGTGCAACGGGATCACAAAAAAAAAATGTTCAAAAGACACGGCAAAGTCGTTCAGATGACAAGTCGACGTTTTCTGGACGTGCTTGGAATATTTGTCGTTCGGCAGAAAGACCCACCCTAGGATCGCCCGGACAAGCCATATCCTGCCTAAATGACACGGCAAATGGCTGTTCTAGGATTACACGGCGATCCCGGGATCGGCTCTTTGCCCCGGCCTGGACTGCCAATATATCGACGGAAATGAGACTCTTGCCCAGGCTATAGTATCGGTGCAAGGAGCGTATCGCGCAAATTGCTTTGCATGCGATGTGTCTTCTTATAGGCCGCTATTGGTCGCTATTGTCGTCGTTGCTGTTGCCGTCGTCTTTTCTTGCGTACCGCGCGTATATATATATCACACCTCTCTGCACATCACGTCTTCTCACGAAGATCGTACATTCATGTGTACATCACGACAAGATCTCTACCAGTTACACTGCTAAAAAAAATAAAAAAAAAAAAATAAAAGCGTCGCGATCAGCGACGACCGATCTCTTGCATTGTGCGTCGGTTCTCGTGACATCGCGACGACACCGACGAGTAGCGACGGTTCTTTGATTCTCTGCGGAATTTAGAAGCGAGATTACGCCGAGCGAACAGCTTGCATCTCGCGGCGTCCGCGTACTTTTTCAACACACCTCACCTATATAATTAACGCACTCTCAAACGTATACGTGAAACGACGCCTCGATATCACACATTTTTAACAGTGTAGCACAATAAACTCTGTTCTCTGTCACACGCTTATTTCACTCTGTCTCCCTGTTACTTCACTATACTTCACTATACTTCACCTCACCACTTACGACATTACACTTCTCTTCTCGTGCTATCCTATACCTCTCTCTCTCTCTTTCTTTCTCTCTCTTTCTCTCTCTCTTTTCTTCCTTTCTTACTCGTTCTATCCGTAACTTTTCTGTCACTTTCTCTCTTAAAACGCCCACGACGACTCGAGCGCAAAAAGAATTCCGTCCCGGTATTGTACAATGCGTGCGTGAAATATCGACTCGACCCGACAGAAGAACCGCCGCGTCAGCAAGTCCCTCATAATTGAACACCCGAGAACCTGAGATGAGACCCCGTGTCCATCGTATATACACGAATAACACGAACAAACAGAGCGCGTTTTTATCTTCGATACTAAATAAGGCTCAACACGTGGATTTCGGAGTAGGCCGAATTAACAAAACAGCTTTTATTCTCGTTTACTATTATATTACCGCACGTATCTGCATCTATTTAAAAGTATAAATACTTATCATTAAAATTATTATTATATATTTTTACTTAAATTATTATTTTATTTCTTACTAAATATGTATATATTCCGAAAGAGAGAATGCCTTTTTAGAAGTTGGATCATTTGATTCAGCTTTTGGTAGCCTAAGTTATCAGACCATTACGATAGTCCCGAAGGACTGTCAATTAGTATTTAGTCGTAGTAGAGACATACAATTTCTTTTTACATAATCTTAGAGATACGAGCCAGGTAGATCGCGCAAGGCACGTAATATCGTACTGACATCAGCAGTCTCGGTAGATTTGTGCGTACCTCTTGTAAATACTCGCTGAGACAGATCTCGCCGTAATACATATTTATACCGTATTTGCGTATTAGAGGATTATTTATATTTACGCTTGTGGCAATTATTTCCCTTTTCCCCTCTCTCTCGCAAACGTTCGCCGTGACATTCTGCAACGGCAGGTGCCTTGTTTTCTCCCACTGTTCTCTTCTCTTCGCGACCGCGTTCCCGAAGCTCTCTTTCCGTCCCGTTTATTTTCGCGTCAGTTTAAATCCGTAAAGTGTGTGCGGATATCTGTCGACCCGGGCGTTGATTTAAAGCTCTCGTCATATTTGCCCACGTTCGGCGTCCCATCCACCCCCGCCGACTTTTGCCTCGACGTCAACGAGACGAAATTCGCAAGAAAAATCAGCCGGCGTGATACAACTGACAGGCTTGACAGATAATTCTTTTGCGGACGCGCCCGAATAACTGTTTGTTATGACTTCCGCGGGACCAGACGTCACGTCGCGTTAAAGTCAATTATTGTTTCAACGCGCGTCCTAAAATTAGCATTATTGATTGCCCGCGTGAAACATTAAACAATTAATACGCTCATATGACGCATTACATCGAGATTATACGACGCATGTGAAATATTTGATTTACATTGACCGTCTCCTCGGGTAATTTTCAGGGAGAATTAAATATATTTTTTTAATGAAAACATTTTTGTGTTTATTTTTTGAGAGAAAAGACTAATTTCTTGAGTTTTGGTTCTTATTCCTTGCTCCGTCCTCGTTGTATAAAGCCCGTTACAACCGCACACAGTCGATACGATCCGCTCACAAATCCATAAATGTATACCTACTTTACACGCATTCGCCTGTATTGTTGCAAATATACAAGATACATATATTTATATACTGACACGCCGAACTTGCAGAATGTGACTGTACGAGCTTCGAGTGACAGTCGTTTTCGCTGTTTTGTCCAACACAATTGTGCTTAATCCCTCACCGATATGCAGTGTCTCCGTTCTTCAGAAATCGAATCTGTTAAAATCAATTTTACAAATCGGTTAAAAAATTTCTTGATGCAAGGAAACAAGTTTGAAAAATATTAAAACCTTTTCAAAATTATGAATCGTTAAACAGTAATTAAAAATTTGTAATTTAAGAGAAAACGTATTTTTGTGCTTTTAATTCTTTGGATATTTGATACGTGTGTAACAATATTTAACTGAATATTACTTAAAAAATGTTATGCTATATAATATAGTTTAGCACGAGATAAAAGTATATTAAAGTTGGATATTTATATCTGTAATATACATATATTGGCACGATGAATGGAAAAATCGAAAAAGTATCTTATATATACATACACACGTATACAATAAGAGTTAAAAATAGACGTTTCTCTTTGTGAAAGTATTTTATAAATATGAGCTTTAAACCTAGACGTTACTTTGAGCATTTAAGCACAAAAATAACGAACTATAGACTGAAACATGTAAAAGCGATTTATTTAACACAAGCATTTTTATGGTGCATTCTGACACTCTAAAAAAGTTAATTAAAAATCAAGCTGTTGTAATCCTTTTATTAAACAAAGAAAGAAAGTAGTGCTCTATTTTATGCTAATTTTCACTTTTTTTTTTTCTATCCGGATGTATCTCACAGATCACCAACTCTCATGGTCAGCTGCAGCCAATTGATGTAAAAATGCTAGTGATCGACGTTAATGACATCAATGTTCGTACAATATTCGTAACGAAATGTCACCGACGTAGCAGCGGTTGTTATACGACAGGATAAAAGTTAATCAGTTACACTTCCTGCGTAATTAATTACTTAAATAACAAGGTCGCTGTATATATAGTATAGGGAGAACGGAGACGCTGAACGGCGATCGTACCAGGTCCCAGTTCCATCAACCACCGATCCTACCTCACCCGCCCCCTCTCCTCACCCCTTCCTCCATCACTATTGATCTCTATCGCGGGGATACTTTAGGCCAGCGGATTGTCTCGGTTGCAGCATCCTAGGGATGTACCTGTTCGGGGGTAAGTTTTGCATGTGGGCGGACCGGAGTCGGCCCTGCACCTGTGCCGAGGTGGTCTCGCGGCACCCATTGTGTCGCTGTGATCGCAAACATTTCAACGACATCGTCTGGGCACTAGTCACTGTTTTTCAGGTACCACTGTTCCTCCCTCTCTTAACGCTATATATCATAACGGATTTTTTTTTTTACATGTTTAAAGCGACATACACGTATATATGCATAGCCAATTTTACGTGTACACGATCTATACTTTTCTCCCCTTATACCTTATATTCGTGTTCACGTTCTCTCTCTCTTTCTCTCTCTCTTTTTCTCTTTCTCTCTCTTTCTCTCTCTCTGTACAGATCGCCGGATCGTATATATATATGTATATATACATAATATTTCTTCGTGTTGAGCAAACGGACCCCTGCCCGACATCTGATCCCATCTGTCTCCCCGAGCCCGCCCACGCTTCGTCCATTCTTCTCTCTTTGTTATCCGTGCCGAGTGACACAGAGCCTTTAATGGTTGCTTTGTATTTACATGCGTGCAATCGGTATATACGTATACATGTCGACGTTCACGTTCACCATATCGTTTGCTCGCGCAGCGACCAAACTGCGCGACGGCGACTTCTATATACCCACGAGTGTGTTGTGATCTCGATTCAGCACACGCATCATCCATGTAAAGCAACTAATGTGCCGCAGAAGCCGCCCGAACGAGTTTCTGCCTTTCTATCACGTGTCTCACGTTTACATCTGTATTCTACAATATAATGCAGTCTGATGGCGTATCGATAACTTCCTAAATTTGTCGCTGCACAATTAATCATTCTTATGTTACCAGTAGCACATATCATGTCTGCTTTGACTCGCGATATTTGTACAATTAAAAAAAAAAAAAGAGCAACGTTCATAAATGCTAATAAACTGAATAATGAATATGTCGACAGTTGCATTCTAATTGTATCTACGTATAGTTGTTGAATCCTATTGTTGTGTCATTGTTCGCGCGAAACACGTTTAAATTCGGATTTCATGAAATCCTATATTGACAACTACTACGATATATTTTTTTTTTTGCGCATGTAAATAACAATTCTACTAACGCTCAATATTAATCGTTCGGTACGTTGAATTAATTTCCTTTGGATGTTAGTTGATTTCTTAAATTTTTAAACACAGCGTGTAACGTTATCAGGCTAGAAGGAGAAGTAGAAGATATCAACTGGAGAGAATTGATAAAGATAGACGAATACGTGGGTAGACACGAGAGCTCTCGCAAAAGAGAAATTCGTGATAGAAAACACGACGCATGCACTTTTACAAAGTAATGCGACACTGATTGGCAAAACGTTTCGTGCGTCTCTATTCGAGTATTTGGATGCGGTGCGGATGCAACGCCGACTTGTTTCGTACGTCGATCTCTCGCGATTGCATGTATCCCAAGTTGGTTTTGATATAAAAACAATTTAAAGGATATTTAGTAAAAATGAATTGCCTTCGAATCTAAGTTAATGCAAATTAGCTCAAGTTATTTATGCTCCCATATTTCACCATTTATTTCACAAAATGTAAATAACTCTATATTTAACGTAATGTATAATTCAATACTTGAAATAATTAAATTATTGACACCAACATAATATTCTAACGGTCAAATTATTAGATACAATAAAATTTTTAAGTATTGATAAATATACATTTCTTGCATAATAACATCATAACATTGTTATAATTATTAATTTTATTACTGCAAAGTTATATTGTTCCAATGATTTCAATTATTTGATCGCGTATATTCACTTGTATATATACTTTGCAAACACACATATACATACACATACATTTGAATCCTGACAAAAGACATATGAGATTTTTTTTCCACCCGCGAGCATGTTTCACACACTACATAAATTTTTGGCACGCTTCGAAAGAGAGAACGTCTTGCCGATCACGTGCCTTATCAAATAAGCGCAGACATCTACGCCATTTATATGCAGCGGGGGTCCTTTCCCATTCTTCTTTTTTATGTAGATCCTCACGCAGGAAGATTGGAATGTCGTTCTCTTCAACGGTATGCAGAAGACGTCTCATTGGGCAGCGCTTTATTTCGTAGCGTTGATGACTTTCGGCAACTACGTCCTCTTTAATCTTCTAGTCGCCATCCTCGTTGAAGGTTTCTCGTCGGAGGTAGGAATTAGGAAGTAATACGCCGTTTTTTTTTAATTCAGTATTTGACGTTATAATGCAGAAGACATAAAAATACAGATAAATATGTGACATTCATTTAAATCTTCCGATCTGTATTAAAAATTTAATTTAATGACTATTTTATATTGTAGCGAGAACCGTCTTAAATATATACCTACTTATGTTTATAAAAATTTAATTTGTGATTATACATGTACATGCGACTACATGAATAGTATAATAACTGACGGTATATTTCGCAGAGAAACGAGAGGAGAGAACGGGAGCAGAGAGAATTGGCGAAGAGACTCGCTGCAAAAGAGGCTGGAATGGGCAGCGAGGACGGATCGTCGAGAATATCGGGATCGCATTCGATCTCTGACAGCGATACGTATACCCAGGTAGTTGCTCTCGCGGTCGCCCCAAATAAATAAATCCAAATTCTACGCTCGTTTATTCCTTGTTTTCCGTCACGCGGGGAAGATTGATTGCGACGGTCACCTCTATTTTGGAATATTCCTTTCGCTCAACTTTTTCCGTGCCTTCTGCGAGAAAAGGTCGACGTAATGATTTATAAAGAGTCGCAAAATATCTAAACTATTCAAGGCATGAATTAAATATGCGAAAAAAATATAATTTTCTAGTTTTTTTATGTGCTTATTATATATTATTTGTATTGATTGATTGGAGAAGTACGGGTAGAATTATTACAAACGAGATTTATCTAATAAATTGATTTATCTCGGATGAAATCCGCGTCAAATTTCTTTTGCGTGCGATATGCAGGATCAGAAGAACTCGTGGCAGAGCGCGGAGGAACTTAGGAAGTACAAGGACAATAGGGAGAAGCAGAACAGCGTGTGGAAGCAGCGGATCGATGAACCCAAGTGTAACATCCAGAAAGAGAGCAAGATGATGGGTGTGGCGGGTCAGCCGCCGATAATTACTCATACAGCAGCCACCCCTCAAGACTCCCCGAACACCACGTTGGACGTCGGCTACAGAGACCTCAATTGCCGAGCAGTTTATCCGGCTGCTGCACTTTCAATCGAGTCCATCGATCGATCTGGTGTACGTTGTTTCATTTCAATAAAAAAAACAAAAAGAAAAAACGTCGTCGTTACGCACAGACGGAAGTTTTCGTTGCGCGATTAATATAATGATGCAGCATTCGCGTCTGCACTTGAAAATGAAAATTTTTCCGTATTTTTTTCATATCAAATTAGATCAGTTAATATCTCGATGAAGTTCTCATACAATTTTGAATTTGGAAGGTTTTCCTACTGTATTTCCTCGGAATACCGGATTAAAAGTGATATACATTGCGAGAAAATATGATAATGACGATTGCTTTGTATTCGCAGAGTCAGTGCAGTATACCCTCGGGATTGCTCAAGCTGCCTGATGTATCCAACAAAATACCGACGAATAACTTAATAGCTGGTCAATTCCCGAGACGCATAAGCCTCGTTACGGCCGTCGTTAATCCCTCGACGAGGGACTCGAGCTCCAGGTATCTATACGTTTCGTTATATTCTCGGTCGCATTAAATGCCGTTCTCTTGTTTTCTAATATATACCGCTTCTTTCCACTTCAGTCCGCCGAGGGTACAAAGAGGATACTCGTGGCGCTTGTCACGGCCATCTTTGCGGAGGAAACGATGGTCGCAGAGTGACGACGAGCACACCGGCCATACTACTGTACTCAATAATGGGCGCAGTACTCTCGTTGGATCCAATCTGACGTATGTCGACAAAAATTTTACTCATCCCGAATCGCTCGCGAGAAAGACACGAATAATTAAACATTTAGAGTTGACTTAACGGAAATAATAAAAAAGATGCTATAATAGATGTAATAAAAAAATAACAATATATGATTTCTCTTGCAGATTTAATGGCGGTTATTTGCACGGTTCGATAAGAAACGACACGCAACGCGACGCGCCCAACAATCGAACTACCGTCCTGACAAGCAATAATCGTAGTTTGAGTCCTAATAATTCGCTCGACAGCCGTGGCCCTTGGTCGATTCGTCGTTACACAGTTACGCCTAATCAGGTGAATAGCGATACAATATCTTTATTTGATATTTGCTGAATTATAAATTATTACTTTACTATATCGTGTTGATTTTATATCGTTAGACTGCTTGAATCGAGAGCATTTAATCGATGTCGCAATTTGCAGATGCGATGGATCGGCGAGCTTTCGCGTAGGAATTCATTGCGCGGATACGAGAACGTCCAGACGTCCACGAGGAAGACGCTGCCGTTGGACGAGATGCTCGCGCCGTCCTCGACCCCACGCACGATCAATAATCTTTCGATGGAGACCGGTCCACTGCCGAGAATCAAACGACTGCACGAACAGGAGGAGGAACGTCGCGAGCGTCCGAGGACGCGTGGCGAGCAGACGCCGCCGTCGAACGGTCACGGTAGCGCGAGCAGCATCGAGAAGATCAAAAAGATATTCATGTTTTTCGAACCTAAGGGCTGCCTGCAGGAGCGCGACAATTATTCCCTATATTTGTTCCCACCAAATAACAGGTAATATATATACATATATATTATAAATAGGAGTAAAACGTTGCGCTTGATTAATATTTGAAATCTTGCGAAATGAGGAAGACTCTTGAATAAGAGGGAAACTTACTACAATAGAGATGTAATAATAAATAATACTAAAAATATTAAAAAATGTAGAATTAATCTGCACTAGAAGTAAAATGTATAGATTCTATTATACAACATTATTATTAAATTGGCTTGAGAGTGAACATCAACATGTTTTTATACGAGAGGTTCATAGTTTTCTCGATGCTGCAGATTTCGCATCTTGTGTCAATGGCTCGTGGATCAAAAATGGTTCGACAACGTGGTATTGCTATTTATCGGATTAAATTGCATTACTCTGGCGATGGAACGACCGAATATACCGCCGGACAGTCGCGAGAGACTTTTTCTTGCCACCGCGAATTACATTTTTACAGCTGTTTTCGCCATCGAGATGTTGATTAAGGTAACGTGCCAATATGATGTTTCATAAAAATTTTATCTATAACATCCACATAATAATTTCGGACGAAATTAATGTCTCGAGTAAAATTTTTATTGCCTCACGATAATTGAGAAGGAATAAACGAGAGAAATTGTCACATGATAAACTGGCGCATGATTTACATTTCAATGTTATTTTCTTTTAGGTTGTTGCAACGAGTATGTTGTATGGTGCAGACGCTTATTTTACATCAGGCTGGAATATTATGGACGGATCTCTCGTTATCATTTCTATAATTGATTTGTCGATGTCGTTGCTCTCGTCCAGTAGCCCCAGAATATTTGGCATATTAAGGGTAAGATTATCATTACATTTAACAAATATATATATTATGCTCTTTAATTCTTTCTAGAGCGATAATTCTGATTAAATGGATGGTATTGAAATATTTATTCGGATAAATAACTGTCCTGACGAAAGCTAATATTTAAGTTTCAACACTGACAATATTTAATATTGAGAATAAAGGAAATTATGTAAAATAAAAGTTATATAAAAATTAACGCAATCAATCATTTCTGTGAAAAAAAAACGTAGGTATTTAGACTGCTGAGATCACTGAGACCTCTGCGAGTCATTAATCGTGCACCTGGCTTAAAGCTGGTCGTTCAGACATTGCTGTCTTCGTTACGACCTATCGGCAACATCGTTCTCATCTGCTGCACGTTTTTCGTGATCTTTGGTATACTCGGGGTGCAGCTGTTTAAGGGTGCGTTCTATTATTGCGAAGGCCCCGACATCAAGAATGTACGCAATAAAACGGACTGCTTGGCCGATAAGCGAAACATGTGGATGAACAGGAAGTACAATTTCGACGATCTTGGCAAAGCACTTATGTCGTTATTTGTTTTATCGTCGCGAGACGGATGGGTAAACATCATGTACACCGGTCTAGACGCTGTCGGAGTCGACCAGCAGGTGAGAAATCCACAGCAAATGAGAATTAATATTTTTCCCTCCGATCAATACCTTCTGTCAATTAATCGCAAAGATATTTTTCTACAAATTCTAATTTAAGTAAGCAATGTTTTAATTTGCAGCATGATAGTCTTTAAAATGTGTGTTCGAAGTAGCCGCTTTATTTACATGCTTTATTCTTTATGTCTATAATTAAATACATATAATTGAATTCAAGTAATTTCGCGTAATTTCCAACGATCTGACGAAACAAAACTGATTGCAGCCTATCGAAAATTACTCCGAGTGGCGATTATTGTATTTCATCGCGTTCATATTGCTGGTGGGTTTCTTCGTGCTGAATATGTTCGTCGGCGTGGTGGTCGAGAATTTTCACAGGTGCCGCGAAGAGCAGGAGAAAGAGGAACGCGTGCGAAGGGCGGCGAAGCGCGCGTTGCAGATGGAGAAAAAGAGACGAAGTGAGTGGCCGCCGGTAGTCAGCTAGGCTTAAATGCCACTTCTGCATCACGCCAGCAGATTTAGGAGTCGATATAGATGCCGGTGTATATGCAACGATGACAATTTTCAGAGATGCACGAGTCGCCGTATTACACCCATTATTCCAAGTCGCGGCTGTTCGTCCACAACGTCGTGACGTCCAAGTACTTCGACCTGGCGATCGCCGCCGTCATCGGTCTCAACGTCGTCACGATGGCCATGGAGTTTTACATGATGCCGAAAGCGCTCACCTACGCACTGAAGATCTTTAATTATTTCTTCACCGCCGTCTTCATTCTCGAATCCATAATGAAACTTGTCGCCCTCGGGGTGCAGCTTTATCTGAAGGATAAGTAAGCGCCTCTATTTTCTCTTCGATATTTTTATAAACGCCACGTTTATCAAGAATAAGCGCCGTTGGATGTAAAATAAGCGCGACCAATAGTCTATAAGAAAGGAAGCGCTTCTTCTAATAGCGCTTTTCTTTCAGGTGGAATCAATTGGACGTGGGGATAGTGATACTTTCAGTAGTCGGCATCGTGCTGGAGGAGGTCGAATCTAAAATTATCCCCATTAATCCCACGATAATTCGCGTAATGCGAGTGTTGCGGATAGCCCGGGTGTTGAAACTCTTGAAAATGGCGAAGGGCATACGTGCCCTCCTGGACACGGTGATGCAGGCGTTGCCGCAAGTCGGCAATCTGGGACTGTTATTTTTTTTACTTTTCTTTATATTCGCCGCGCTAGGGGTAGAACTCTTCGGCCGATTAGGTAATTGTTATTTTGATACGATTAAATTTAATTATCTCTTATAGAAAATAATTATATAGCTGGATAACTTTGTGATTGAACAATGTGCTAATTTTTCTACCGCAGAATGCAACGACGAGATGCCTTGCCAAGGTCTTGGCGAGCACGCGCATTTTAGTAACTTTGGCATGGCCTTTTTGACGCTTTTCCGGGTCGCCACTGGCGACAATTGGAATGGGATCATGAAGGACACGCTAAGGGACGATTGCGACGATGCGGCGGACTGTGTTAAAAATTGTTGCGTGAGCAGCATCATCGCGCCGATATTTTTCGTGATTTTTGTTCTGATGGCGCAATTTGTACTGGTCAATGTCGTCGTCGCTGTGCTGATGAAGCATCTGGAGGAAAGTCATAAACAGGTGACGTTTCCAGACAATTTTATAGATTGACTTTACTTCGACTACGAAAACAAAATATAACATTTTAATTACAGATGGAAGACGAGCTTGACATGGAAAATCAATTAGAGAGAGAATTAGCGGCGGAGCAGGAAGAACTTCTTGAGGAGGAAGATGAGGACGAAGTAGCGATAAATGGTAGAATAAACGGCGACGAGGATGACGATGAGGATGATAAGGAACGCGAGTCAATGGTGGTAAACGAGAAAATACACTCCAGGAGACCAGGATTGGCCAAAGTTCGGTCTTTGCCTGCGAATTTCATTTACAATCCACCGAGGGAGAGAAACATCGATGGTGAGAGCGTTATTAACTATTTATAGACTGATGGTTTGAAATATTGCGATATTATATCTTTTATCTATTACGTCTCATTATAAAAATTAATGGGTTTTGCATTTTCCAGATGCCTCGATTTCCGTATCCTTGGACGAGAAACGTCGCAGTTCGTATTATCATAGTTCAAGACCGTCCAAGTTTAAGTCGAAACGCCGGCAAACCTTCCACTCGAGCCATCATCAACGAAGATCACTGCTGCCGATGCACTTCGAGGTCGCTGAAGTCTTCGAGAAGCCCGTGAGCAATCTGAGCGTACCTCGAATTATTCCACATCGCAGCTACGCCACGACTAGTCAAGACGTCAGTCGCATACGTCACAAGTTGCCGGTAAGAGGAATCATATTTCGATGTAAATTCAAATTTTATAAGAAGCAGTTAGTAGCATATATTAGTTGCACTATAAATTATTATTAAAAAAAAATTAAAAGTATTTTCTTCACTCATTTAATCTAATGAGATTAAAATTTTAATTATTTCCTTTACAATATGGAAATAATGTAATAAAATTTTAGTTCTCTTTTACTCTTTTTTTTAGTTTCTCTTTTTAAAAAAAACTTCTGCTATTTATAAAAATTATCATCCAGAATTAGTGAAATGAGATATCAATATAATGATGTATTACATTAATTTTGCAGGTGACCACCAGTGAAATACGTGAAAATAAATCTCTGTTAACCGTGAACAAGCCGCCGACCAGCCCCACGATCACTTCCCCCGGCTCGAGCAGCACCCTGAGCGTCCCACCAAAATTGACCAGCGACCGTTTCCTCATGCCTCACGCCGAGATCTACCCGTCCAAGGCGACAATGAGCCGTCGGACATCGAGCGACACACAATCTCCGACACCGTCGGACACGAGCGCGAGCGCGAGCGCGGGCGCCGGTAGCAGCAGCACACGAACGCCCAGCATCGCGAATGGCTACGCTGGCGGCAAAGTCCGACTGGAGGAACCAAAGATGAAGACGGAGGAGAGAAGACGCCCGCCGGCGGCGACGACGACGACGACGACGACGACGGCGGCGGCGGCGGCGGCGGCGGCGGCGCCCCAGGAAGACCTCGATGTGCAATCCGTTATCAACGAGAGGAGGCCGTCCAAGCTGAGGACGCACGACGCCACCGGCGCGTCCACCACCACCAGCATCGCCAGCGATCAGTACAGCGCGATGATCCGCGGCGAGGGTTACAGCCACATCTACGTCACCACCGAGGACAGATCCGACGAGGTCCCGTCGCCGTGCGGTAACGCGAGCGAGAGCACCGGCACCGGCAGTCCGAGCGTCGCCGGAAGCCTCAGCGCCGTCGCCAGCCTCAGCGTCGCCATCAGTGCCGGCGCGGCCGGTACCATCAGCAACGGTAGCGGCAACGGTAGCGGCAGTCGAAGCGGTAACGGCGACGACGGGGTGCACATCGGCGAAGGCGGCGCCATCGGATCCGACGTGAGAATATACGTGGACGACACGGACTCGGCGAGCAGCAGCAACGGGCAACGGCGCGGCGGCAGATTGCGCGACGACGAGGCCCAGGACGTCTCGTCCACCGTCTCCTCCACTACGACGATGCGAAACGGTAGAAACGGCAGCGGCGGCACGGACGAAAGCAAGGAGTCACCCGAGAGACCGTCCTCCACCGGTGAATCGTTGGATCCCTCTTAATCCAGGGCGGGCGAGCCGATGTAGCCTCTAGTCGTACGTACGGGATGTTTCGAAGGGATGAAACATAGTACACTGTTATACACGTGGTTATATACACTGTACGGCGGAAGTACATCGCGGTGGAAGATGACGGGTGGGATTTAAGAAAGGGCTCTAAGAAAGACTGTAGTGCATGACAATATAGTCGTTATATTCTAGTCACTTCGCCGCCGTGAACTTGCCAAAACGAACATAAGTCGAGCATTTAGAGGGAGGTTGAACTTTCGAGAGAAGGAGAGAGAGAGAGAGAGAGAGAGAGAGAGTACGAAAAGAGAATATCCCGCGCATCGCATAAACGAGATACGATCGCGCGAACGGTATGATGTAATTAAAAGAATCTACACCGATTGCGTAGCGCAAAACGGCTATGCAAAACGCGCGACGTGCGCGTATCACGCAACTTGCAAACCTATGACAATCTCTTATTGCCAACGGAACTAACTTCATTGTTCCGTTTCCGAAGCGTCGATTGGAAGTCGATTCGTAGGAATTGGTAGGAAGAAGAACGACGTAGACCGCGTCGATAAAAATTAGAAAAAAAAGAGAGAGAGAGAGAGAATTTCAGTAGTTTATAGCTAGATCTTATGTCGAGTCTACGCGACAAAACTGCAATTAATTGGACCACACTGTCTCGCCTTTCCTTATTCTCTAACTCTTGAAAATTGCGCGCGTTTCGCCGATTGGAAATCAAAGATGTCTACAATCGATCGATATGGATTGTATTCTAGTCGTTGAATCGACTAACGGGAATGAGACAATTGATCTGCCAAATTGAACTGATGTAAATTTTTTGCGATTATATATATACATGTGCCTGATCTTTTAACTAAGAATAATCAAATTTATATAAATTCGAATGTATCTAGTTTAGAAAGAGGATACGACAATTAGTCTTGTATTTGAGTATCGAAATGATATAGAGATTTTGATTTTTATAATTAATTTCTTTAAACCGGAATTAAAGATTCGATCGATCAATTGTGGCGATTACTGGACAATCGGCGTTCGAGAATCGTGATTTATCTTCGTTTCGTTCACTTCACTCTTTTCACACGTTAGAACGTTCTTCTCGTTGACATCTGTGATATACTTTAATCGTAGTGTATTTCCTAACGGTAACAGCAAATATCAGAATGAAATCGTAACATCAGAAGCAGCAGCAGCAGCAGCAGCAGCAACAACAGCAGCGGCAAGGAACAGCAGCAATTTAGGGATGATAGCTGACTTTTTAATAAAACGAAAACCAATGTTTCGGTGGCTTTCGTGGGGGCGTAAAAATAGAGAGACAAAACAAAGATAAATAGGAACTCTATACTGTACATACATACACCTACGAATATTCTATACTCTACACTTGGTGTGGTTTATTTTGATACTACCGCGTGCGGTAATATATTTAACGATTGTCGAAGTAAATCTAACAAAAAAAAAAGTAAGAATAAACAACTCTATGCCTTTTACGAGCGTTGACGAATCTTCGTGCGGTGGTGGTGCCCACGTTCTTTTCTTTTCAGCTGCGAAATGAACGACTGACAACTCCAACCACCCTTCGTCGGGTCGAAGGTGTAGTCGTTAAAATCACATTCAGGCGTGCCGGGCGCGTCGTATTGCTTGAAAAAAAAAAAAAAAATTAGTAATCGTCGACCGATCGATCGCGTGGTCGATACTGCGTTTCATTTGAAAAGCCTAACAAAATCTCGAGCGGCGTTTTTGCGTTGAGTTTAAGTGGAATTCCTGGTCCACTGCTCATCGGAACAATTGCACTTCATCATTGAGTCTTCGGTAGAAACGCTTTGGTGAACGCATAGTGGTTCCATGGAGTTGCGCTTAACACCAGAATGGCTGGGATTTTGCTATCTAGAAAGGGATAGTTTTTTATAACGTGAATGGAAAAAAATTATATAGCATTTCAAAAATATAATACAACTCTTTCTGTCTTGAATATTTTCTCATTTCTTGAATATTTTTGATGATATTTGTTAATTACACATACATTTTCTACGCTTAATTATTTCTAAAGAAATCGACTTTCATAGATTGTCGTATGCGAATTATTATTTAAATGAATTTACACAGTTTGGAACTGCGTCATTATGTAAAGAAAAAGTATGATTTGAAACTTTTACAAAATCGCAAGCTTTGTAAGATTTTAAAAAAACACGTAGTGACTGTCTTATGATTGTCTTTGCCATTCTGGTGGTAAATCTCAACTGGAAACGATGTAGCACAAAACAAATACGTAGCAAGCGTAGAAAGAAAGCAATGAGCGATTCTGAATTGCTTTATCAGATCACATTGAATCGAATCCAGACCAAGTGAACGAGCGTAAGCAAACGCGAATGAACAATATCAGCACTGTTTGCACTTATTGAAGCAATTGTTGTTCATTCGGGTTTGTTTGCTCGGTCTAGATCCGGCTTTCATTTAAGGAAAGTACGTAGATAATCTCCTATCCATGTGCTTACGTACATGCACTCACGTTTCTTCGGCACCACGACCGGCTCTCGATAGCTCGATAGCGTTAGACGACTGACCTCCGAATTATAGTTACTCTAGACACGCGCCGATTACGATCGTGCGCGAGTTCGCCGATCAGCTGCACACGTATCGATAGTCCGGCAGTTGTGTACTGTATAAAAAGAAAAGAGATACATAGAAACATCGGTTCAAAAGAGGAAGGGGGAGAAGTAAAGGGTCGTTAGAGAATTTTACGATCGTGCTGTGTACACGCGTGATGGAAAGAGGAATGGTCGTATCGAAACTTTTGCAGCGTGCCTCTCGAGTCTGTTTTTCGCCCGTATAGAGAAGGCGGCGCGTAATCGTCGAATTAACGAGAGAAAACGGCAAAACTACAAAACTAGACGTAACGAGAGAGAAGCAGAAACCAAAGATGGGCGGGGGAGGGCCGCGATCGGCCCTCCCCGAGATATATAACGTGCTATTTTAATTACGGTAAAATGAGATAACGGCTGGTTGTCCGTAGAACCGCCGGGAGAGCGTCTTTTCCTGTGTCTGCCTGATATATCCTGCGTGTATGCACTTTATGACGGCTGCTTGATGCGAAACTTTGGCCTCGCTGCACCACACGAAGCCGGAGAGTACGATAAGAGTGTGGGATACGTGTGCGACGAAGAACGCGTGAGAGGAGAGATTCGAGGTAGCGGAGAGTTCGAGGGGGAAAAAAAAACTAAAATATGTACAAATGTAATAAATCGAGCGACGATTACGTTGAACTGGTCTATTGCTTTTATTGAGCGACCACCCACTGTCCTGATTCACATTCTAATCAATATTATAGCGGTCAATATCCTTTGATATCAAACATCCGGTCAATCTGTTAGTTACGATGTTAATTTATTATTGTCATATAAAGTTATTACTGTTATTATTATGAACTCCATTGCAAGTTTGACCGAAACATTGACTTTTACGGAATTTGAAACTATATAGAGTTACATATTATTTTAGAAAAAATATGACTTTCACGTACTTGACGCGTTATACATTCACGTTTCACTAAGTGTACCGTGCACTCGTATTCTGTAGATACACGTGTACTCCGGATTACCACTATTAGAGTTGACTTTAAATTCGATTATCTCGTACGCTTCTTTCGCTCGTTTCTGCAAATAATTTTTTATCTCGTGTAATTGAGTGCAAAAATTCACAATTGAGAATTCCAACGTATAAATGTTAATTATATAGAAGCATATCGTATATCAGGTATTCCACCTGGATCTCAAAGTACTGCAACGGCGAGCCAGTATTGTCGTATATAAAACTGCCAAATGAAAAAGGCTTTTTGTCATCCAGATCCTTCAAACCCTAGAATCAATATATATGCGAAAAGCAGTTATTTAAAATAGCAAATGATACCTATACATTATTAATGGTACATACTAAGATATATTTATTTATGATATTCCAATATACAGATCATATATATAATGTAGCATAATGATTAGCTCACCCAAACGGAAAAATCTTTTGGCGCCGTGGCAGTCTCACCAGTCGGGGATATTAACGAAGAGATATGTTCGAGGCTAACTCCGGACACGTGCACACGACCGAGTAATCGAATCACCACGCTGCCGCTGCTGCCCTTGAAGGCCCAGCATTCGCCCGGCAAAACGCCAGTCTGGTAAATACTTTAGGATCAGTACGTTAGCGTATATTAAATATAGTCAGGTAACCTGTATCACGGCCCGGGGTGTGTTTTGCTGTTGACAGAGCGGTATGCCGAACAGATTGAGCACAGGTGCACCGGTCGAGTAAGGTTCGGTGTTTCGTGTCGAAAGGATCGCACCGCCTGCGGATAAACGACTACGTGATGATGCGCCGAAGATGCATCGTCATAATCTTTTTCCTTAGAATCTTTTTTTATTCAACAGTAAACTATTAAGGAAACATCTATTTATGGAAGAAGAGATAATTTTACGATTGTAAAAAAAAATGCATTACATATTTTTACCAATTAATACATCGAGTTGTACATAGTTTCTGGGAAGAGTTGAAAAAAAATTAGTGCAAGTTATTTTCAAGTCAACTAAAAAAACTGAAATAAAAAAAAGGCCACTTTGTCCGTCCTACTTACGCATGAGATTATTAGCAGGTCGCGGCAGAGTGCCCTTTAATTAATACGTATAAAAAAAGCTACGTAAAAATAGACTATTGGATAAAACCTGAACTTTCAAGAGCGTAATCCGTTCTTCCAGTTTTGTCGGCGTCGTACGTCTGCAACTCATTTCTCACCACATTTCTGACGGTCTCCGGTGACAGAGCCTTCAGCAAATTCTTCGTATGCAGGCTCATCTCTGTTGTAACGAGTACTCGTGATGAAATATTCGCGCGAAACAAACGGCGAGACGATTTGTCGAATAAAACGATAGATATAAAAATATAACGAATAATTAGACGCGCGTGAATGATACAAAGAGAAAGACTTTCATTGTGTTTCATGTTAACGCTTGCGATGGAAATAAGCACAATACGCCGGTCTATTTATTTAGTCGATATATTTGACGTCAGAGCAAATGCCACTGCACCGGGCGCAGCATCCGGTCAACATTTATACACCGCACCTTTCTTACCCTCGGACACTTCGTTCCTCAGGTTGAGAATGGCTTCTGACATTTTTGGAATCACGCTGCCCACTTCCTTTAACTTACTCTTCAGCTCGTCACGCATCTCCATTACGTTCTTCACCTCTAACTAATGCAATTTTTGCAGAAACAATAAAGTAAGCGTCAATTACATTCATGTAACAATAATAAAATAGAAGAATTTACTCTGGGAAAATGTTGCGACAGCAAACAATTACCGAGAGAGTACCCAAGTGAGATCTGAGATTCCCCAAGTCTGCCTTGATCATTTTGAATGACGCACTTGCGGAATATTTATCGCAAAGGTGGGATACGGACATTGCTAAAAATAATGGAATTCTGTGTAAATTGATTTATATTGAATTCCTCGTAAATCAAATTTACGAGTTGTATATTGAATTCCTTGTAAATTAGATTCACGAGGAATTCAATGTACGATTAATTTATATCGAATTTTACAAGCCAAACGTATGCCGACATCAAGAGAGTCCATCGAAAACTTTCATTAATTAATCAAGTTAATATTTCGTTAATTTAGCTAATATTTCATACCGAGCATTGACGTAATGACGCAGAAAGCGAGAGGTTTGAGGAGTTTGGTGTACCAAGCGAATCGCTGATTGCAACTTGCTGGAATGCCCGGACAATTCCCTGCGCTAACGCAACAGAAGGTGTTCCGCGCGCTCATCGGCGTCGTTTCATCACGCAATTATGTCCCAAGTGCTTTCAGAAAAAATGCACTAAGTCGATGAATTTGTGTCAGATATTGGCGACGTTTTTTCATGCGTGTTTTTATGAATAATAACACATATTTTCGTCGGACGTATGTGTCAAAAAGCTTGGACGTTCATTGACAACTGGTATCGCCTGTACAACGCAATCGATATATTGCAAAAAGATGAATCGCGATTCCGAATACGTAAATTACCGTATATAGAAAGGAGATACATGTGGAGCGAAAACGACAAACAAATATCACAGTTCTGGGTTGAAAGAAAATATGCATTCCATTTCCATGAAATATTCAAATATATTTTCTTACCCTATTTTCCCATGTTATTTTATTTGCAGGTGTACACACGATATATGTACAAGGTGAATATAGATAACGTTATACATGATTATCCGAGCAAATAGCTTTTCCGAATAATACAAGAAGATGTGATCCAATTCCATTTTACCGATGCATACACATCTTTTTGAGACGGAGTAAAAGAACACTCGTATAATTCATATCGTATAAATCGCTATTTCTACTGCAGTTTAGTATACTTTTTGCATATAACTCTGTCGCTCTAAATAAATGCGATAAATTGTATAATGTTCGTCTGCGTTTATCCTTCATTTTCGAAGTTATACATATGTATAGAATTACATTTGCATCGATGTATTTTATACATAAAGCATAATACTAATAAAATAAAAAGAAAAGGTCCCTGAAATCATATTTCAAGTGATCAGATTGCCTTAAATCTGATCTTCGTTGATCTTTAAAGTGAAATAACGAGATCTTGGACGATAGTAACATGCACAAAATGTTATTACTGTATCCAAATATAAAGATATTTCTTCTGATAAACTTAAACTATCGTAATATCGGACGATTAACGTCACTGCATACTTTTCAGGGCGTCATCTATACGCACAGTGAGTCGAGTTTCAAAGTCGTAATTTTTGTACTGGGTTTGCGCCTTCAATAGGAAATTTTTACCTTCGTTAGGATTCTAAAAAATACGAGACAACAACGTTGCTTATAAAATAACGAATATAGACGAAAATTATAAATGTGTATGTGGTATACTTACGTTATTTTTATTAAGACTACATCCTAATTCGTACAGGGCAAACACACTGACATGCTGGTCGTACTCGTCCTTGGACGGATACCTACGTTTCAGACAACTTCGGAAACTTTTAATGGCCTCTTCGGTGTCCCCCAGATAAAGACACGCTGCGCCTTCGATAAGATCAGTCAAACCCACCATCGGCTCCTCGGAAGAAGTTTCCTTGCACTCTAATAATACAGTTAATAGATGAGACACAATTTTCTTTCGGACGAATGATTAAGAATTTATTATAAAGTATTTAAATGGCATCTCAATTTTTCATCCGTCTTCTCGATTTTTAACACTAACATCGACGTTTTTTTTTAAATCGATATTGCACATTATTGGATACAAAATGAATGAAATTAGAAATCAATCTATTATTACCATATGATATTTTCCGCAGCGATTCGATGGAACAGGACGAAAGGTGGGACCACAAGTACAATGATTCGTATACGAGTAGCTTATAATACAGAACTGTGTAAGGACGGCCGGTCTCCTTGTCGACGAGTTTCGGCATCCTGCGCATGAGATAAGCGTCGAGTTGCGTCTCGCTTTTCGTCTCGTGGAACCAAGGAATGATCTTGCTGTACAGCGACAGGAGAACGTCAAACTTGCCGTTCGCTCCGCAACAAGCTGTAAAAGGCAGTGACGCAATAAAAGAATTTATTTATTTTAGGCGACGAGACGGTGCTTAAAAAGCTGCAGCTGGAAAAGTTTGAAGTTACCCATAGCTAGGTAAGCGTAGAAACCCTTGGACCATCTCGATTGCTGCTGCAGCTGCAATAAAGATCGATACGCTTCATCGTAGTTCAAGCATATCACATGGCACCAAGCCACCTCGTGTAAACAGAGCAGCTTAACTTCCCTCTGAGTTCCAACCTCCACGGCTTTGCTGAACGCATCTAACGCTGCATCGACATTTTTCTACGAAACGATTGGATTGTGCAACAATGAATAATATTTTATATTAATATCGAAATAGATGGACTTGAAAATTCAACAAATCAGGCTGTACATTAAGTATGATAAATATCTTTCTATTAGAATACATCTAGACGTTCATAAATAAAAATCTTAATAATGATATTTCGAACACATGATTAAAGCATGAATTATTTTGTATGAAAAAAAAAAACAAAAGAAATCGTCGAAAATAATACTCAATTATTTAATTTATTAGTACCTCCAAACGTTCTATTCTGCCGGTGAAAAAGAGGAAGAGGGCAGAGTTCTGGAATTCAGCATGACATTCAGTTATCAGCTGCTTCGCTGCCGCGATGCCCGCTTTTACATTTCCATCACACACGAAAAACGGACGGACAATCGTGTGATACCAAAGTAGGGTTAATCTACGACAAAATAATAGCGTATTGATCAGTCGTACAAAAAATATCTCAGAATATATCACACACGGAAATCTACTAGCGTGTGTATAAGTACGCTTAATCAAGTAAAAAAAAAAGATTTTTTATTTGATATGAGAAAAAGTAAATATCATGCTTTTAAGGTATATATTAAATGTTTTTTGTGCAAGTGTTCGATTATTTTATACATTAATTGATTTGTAAAAACACATTTAGGGAGAGACATTGGAATTTTATGATGACACTCACGTAGCAAGCGGTGCGCGCATATCTTCGCCACGTCGTGCATACATGAGGGCAGTAAGACCTGATTGCCTATTACCCTCGAAGCCAAGGAAGTGGATTACTTTCAGCACAGACGGTGGCAAGAGGCTCACGCAGAGCAGGTATATACCGTAACCGAAACTTGCGGCCGACATTAAACGTGTCACCTCCGTAGGTTCCACGAAGCTGCGAAATATAATACATTCAGCTTTAATTAACTTTTTAAACGCAACTCACGCGAGTTTAGAACGTGCGGCAGAGGGAGAAGGAAAAGCGAGGTGATCGAAGCTATAATACAAACTTCGCTTTGAAGCGAGTATACGAGGCGGTGTGTGAGTTTACATCAGGCACAAAATTAGGAATCGTCAACATGATCGCAGATCCGATCGCGCAAAACGTACGTGTCGATAAATGCCAACACGCACGACGGCACGGTCTTTCTCTCGCGAGAGGAGAGGACGAAGGGCGAGAGGAGAAATTTGTTGAGTAAGAAGAAACGACAATTACGGTGTCTGTTGTTCGGACGTGATGCCAGTGAGCGAGAAGAGCATTGATAGAGAGCTTCGCAGACCTGATGGCGACGACAACACGGGTGTCACATTGTTTGTGTAACCGTTGCAGGATGGTATCGACCATTCCGAAGATTCCGGACTCTGCGGGCTCTGCAGAGAGGCTCCGTTGCTCGTCGGTGTAATGCAACATCCTGGGTTGAATCCTGTAAGAAAATAGGATTTGTCCATGCTATACGTTTACTATGAGAACGATATATACGACGCATTATATACAGTGAATTATACAGACAATGATAAAAAAAAAAAAGAATTCGTAAGAATTTATTGAATCTTATTGTTTTTTCAGATTTTAATTAATAAAACTATAACTGAATGTACAGTTATTTTCGCAAAGCTGCTACAATCGAAATCGTAATTTGTTGATCTTTCTAATCTTCTAATTTTACAAATCATACTGATAATTACGCACCGGTCGGATTTGTACCGAAGGTGCGACGATACAGTTGAAAGATCTGATTGTACGCGTGCTGATAAACACGCCAAGCTTTTCGGAGAATCCAGCAGCCACGAACGTATCCAGTTAGCTCTTGTTGGAGGAACAATGATACAGCCGAAAATACCTGTGTATCCGCTAGAATTATTTGGCGCTCTAATTTATTCACGTAGTCCTTCTGAAATTAATTTCATAATTATTCTTTTTTATTAATCGAACCGTCTCGTAAAGTTTGCTTATTTTATAATGCGTGATATTTTATTGTATCAATAACGAAAGCTTAAAGCGTAATGTTGATTTATATTCAAGTTTCGGTATAAGAAACGTATTTTACATGAATTTTAGTTTTTATTTATTTTTTTATTGTTACGATCAATGATAATCGTCGAGATCATTTCTGCGCGTCCATGTACATATATTAGAACCATTCGAACAGACTAAAATTATATTATCCTGCTGAGGAAACTTACACCGGTCTCTTCAGCTCTGAACACTTTACTTCTCACGGACTTCAGCCATCCTATATCGCCCGCACATTCCCGTTCCATATCCTTAAGAAATAACGTGGCTTCCTGAATCTTGTCCTCTTCGAAAGTCATCAGGGCATTCTATTCGATTCATCAATTATTGCATTAAAAAAAAAATTACTACTATTGCCAAACATTGAAATATTCAAGGCGTGCGCCTTGCATTTCTCATAAATCGGAACGATCCGCATGCGCTCGTCGCTTTATGATTTTGTCATCATAACAGGATTGTAAGATTATCTATACGTTTACTTGACTCGTCCGCTCCGGGATGGTATATTAATCGGTATCGATTTTATGTTTTTCCGATGCACGCGTACGTGCTCGCGGTTTATTATTAAAACCGATTAAGTAACGGCATTCTTTCGCGGCCTTGAGACGTTATAAGCACACCTCGTCGGGATACAGTGGAATCGATATAGCTCATCACGCGATTACGTACCAAGAAGAGAACAAAGCAACGGCCGGCTTTGACGTGGAAGCTATGAGGATGTTCGGTAAACAGAGCTTCGGCCTCCTCGGTTTTGTTGTTCAGCAGGAGAGAGATGCCGGTCCTGGCGATTTTCCAGTCCTTCATCTCGTCTTCGGCCATCGCGCAGTAAAAATTATTTTATCCCCGTGAAAAGGATTTCAGAAAGATATATACATATATTCGGACGACAAGAGTTTTCCTCCCGATACTGCCGGCTGCGCGTTCGTCAAATGGAAAGCATCTTTCCACCGTGCGGGATTGTCAGTCGATAGTTTACGTCAAGGTCACTTATTTGCGCGATCATAATTGTTGACTCATTGCTGTCTCAAAAGACAATTAGAGGATCAACGGTCGGAAAAATATACGTGTACGCAGGAATATCCCCGCACATTTATACATCGCGATCAGCGGCGTGCCAGTTGTCATCGCTGTCGTCACTGATCGAAGTGCGATGCATCCTTACGAGCGCCGCGTTATCTCCTTGCACAAGTCGCGCGTAGCAGGAAGAGCTATTTTTATACTTAAAATCGTTTTGTATATATTTAAAATCTAATTTTGCTCGTCCCGGAAACCTTGACGATTTTCCGGCGTAACGCAGTAAATTGAGCCACTAGGACGGACCTATACCCTTCAGCACAATTTGTCTCGTTTAGAAAAAGCATTTGATCCGATTAAGCAATTCAAGCCGCTTGTGCAGTTGTTATGTAAGCTCCCTCGCGTCGTCATATATGTATTGGACCATTCCAATTTCCATTGATGCAATTATCTCTTTTATCAATTGTTGTTTTCCAATTTATTTATACACCAGAGCGATGAGCAGTTAGAATTTCTCGTTGAGTGGTACCGTTCCTCGAGATAATTTGACAATAAGAAATTTTATTGTGCGTTTATCTGGACGCGATAAAATGCAAATGCGGATTACGGGGAAGACCATTTAACGATGCAAAATCTCGACGCGCGCCGCTCCCGTTTCTTGTATTAAAAATTCGATAGTTACTCGGCACTGACATACTACCGGAGTAATGTCACTTTTCGAAAGACTGCGAACGAACGTTGCATAACAAATACATGCGGACTGCGATACATTCTCGGCCCGCGAACCGTATCCTTGCCGTGCATCGGGTTGACTAAACCCTGCTGTAACGCAGTGCTGCTGCCACCACCTCCAGGCTGGTTATATACTTGTGTATTATTGATTTTGGCATAGAAGTACATTCTGTAACCCTGAGCGCGCGCGGTACGCGCAACGAGGAAAACGAGACGAAGAAAAAATTCGTATGACGTAAAAACGAAATATATAGAAGGTCCAATACGTCAGGGGATCTTTTCATGCGACTTTCTATGTTGTACTTCCCTAACATTTGCTTGAATTTCACACAACTTTTCTTAACTTATGATATCAAGACATATTATTTCATTCTATATGTGTGACACATTTATAATTTAAAAAAACACAATAATATAACGAATCTCATATATTCCCGTATTTTTGAACACAATTGCAAATTTACATGAAACAGTAGAGTTGAGTGCCTAGTGCGAAGTATTGAGTACCAGTTCGAAGTATATAAATTCATGTATAATGTATACATATTTACATTATCCGGCATACATTTAATGAGAGTAAAATTTGTACTCTGATATTTCAAATGCAAGTCATTCAAAGGAATGGCTTTAATTACACCGTTTAACTTTCTCAGCAATTTTATGTCGTTGTAAAAACTTAAGATTATATACATTTATACATTTATTTACAATATTTCATTAAGTAATTAATAACTACTCCTAAATGTCATATAAATTCCAGCCCTTCGAATTTCTTATCCATTACTTTAGTCTCGGGCATTAGTATCTTTCCTTCTAACGTAAAGGCCATGATGTATGTAGCGGTCCGCCCTTGAAATTCCTCAGTTTTTAAAGCTATTATGATGGAATCTTGCGAACCAGGAAGAAATTTGAAACTAGAAAAACCTCTAATTGGAATTAGCTCTCCGACATCAGTAACCTGTAATGAATTTCATAATCGTTACAATTTATCAAGACATCAAAATACTAATGTTCGACGTAATTATTAAAAACGCACTTTGATATCAACAAAGTTTTCGTCTGCGGTCAGCATGACGTTGCAGCTCATTGTTTCATCCCGTGTTTCATTGTAACGTTCGTGGGAACATCTTCTGGGCAAGAAGAACCAGCTCTTATGTATATCGCTCCAAGCTCCAGATTCATGTATCATGTAGCCTACGCAAAGTATACGTATGATAAGTTAATTCGTGCATTCGCAAGTTACCGAGTTACAGCATACCTGGATACTCGATGTTAATCGCTTGCCTTAATCGTTTGTAGTAAGAGATCCAATTGAGAGAATGTGTCTCGCCACGTGGTGACACTACTTTAACCCACAACGGATTATTATGTTCAAATTCACCAGACGGCGTGGTCCATTCCTTTCCCATGCTGCCGACGTACAGCTGTTCGTCCTTGATAGTCGCCCACTCGGATTTAAATCCTGCAAATAAAAGTTTACTAAGAAAAGCGTCTTGCAATCTAGAACAAGCAGTGGTATCGGATGGTGGTTCGCTGAGCAACCTACCCTTGTGATTTCTTCCATTGCCGTCCATTAAAATGACCCACGGGTAAACTTGATCGCCTTCGACGAGATATATCATCCCCGTGCGATCGTCGAAGGCCAGCAGACGGCCGTCGAAGGTCACCAACTCCGACAGCTCCATTCCCCGTCCTTTCATAGACAACGACGAGGACAGCACGACCGTTCTGTCGTCCCAGATAACAGACAGGAAATTGTTGTGCGGATTCCAGTAGAGGCTGCCGGTCCTCATGAGACTGTGCCACATGTCCTTCCTGTCCGCGAGCTTGGAGTCGTGATCGAGGTCGCTCACTATCGCTATCCGGTAGGTGATGCCCTTGGAGGTTCTGATGGGTGTCGAGGTAGGGTACGTTCGATTGTACTTGTAGTAACGGCACTGCGCCGGGGTCTGGCTCGGCGGCGAGCACATGGCGCCGTGCAGCAGCGGATACGCGAGGAAGAAGGTCGGCACTATCAGAACCAGAAGGATCAGCGCCACGAACGGGCCCTGGACGCGAAACGTGCTGTTCGCCACCCGGTAGACGTGCGGTGCGCGCAACGCCTGCCGCCAGTCACGCAGATACGACATGGCGAGCTGCTCCCTGCTGCCGTTCCTCGTCCGCGCCGCGCGTCGTATCAGAGACGTGGCATGTGCCGGCCCGTCGGTGCACTCCGATGTGTGTTTGACGTCGATCTAATCCTAACCTAAACGCGCCATTTTCGCGTGGCAGTGACAGCGACAGCAGCATCGCCCCACTGGGCCCCACTGGCGTGAGCGTCAATCTAACCTAACCTGGCCATGTGACTCGGACTGAGACTCGTCCTGTTGCGTAATGCATTCTCTCGTCATTGACGTGAATAGACGATTTGATGAAATAATATGAATCACTGAGTAAAAGTATATAAGGTCGACACCCTCATCTAATTATTACCGTTTTTTTATAATGCAGGTCATCTCCGTGCCTGTCGTACTTCACTTCTTATCAGCTGTTATGTTTTGACAGATCATATGTTAATCGTAATTATTTAGTAGATTACAGTGTATATGTTTATCGATGAGTATTATTAATAAATGTTAAGAATGAAAATATCCATTCATTCATATTATTTTAATTACTTTTATTAAATTTTTCTTCAAGAAATAAAGACATCTATATACCACGTGTCTCTCTCTCATCTGTCAATAAGCAGCTGTTATCAACGCAAACACGTGTTTTATTCCCTTCTTATCGGAAATAAAAAAAAAGGTGAATTTAATGATCTACAGTCTGCATTGTTTTATCTGCTCACTTTAGATATCGAGTTTGATGGACGGTTAGTCAAAAATTATTATAAAGACTTGCTATAAGAAAATTTTCGACTGTCTCAGGAAAAAATATATAATTATGATGCAACCGCAATTGTGTTGTTACATAAATGCAAATGATAAAATCTGTATTTTAGTTATTTGCAGAAATAGGAGAAAGTGACAGAACGTGAAGCATAACTATAATTTAAGAGGAGCATAATGTATATCACAAATTTCATATGATTTATAACAGAAATATTAATAATAAATTAAAAATACTTATATAACAAATTATTACGTGTTGTCATAATTACATGCGTATTTCAGATCATTCTGCTCAAATCGATCTCTCGACGTGCCGGATCTACACAATTACGGGAAAAGCGCGTCGCCGTCGGGGGGGGGGTCCTTTAATTAGCGTCGCGCCGGCGAGCGTAACGACGCCGGGCCGCGCGTGCACGTTCGAATCGTCGGCACGGTTGGGGTCGGACCGACGGCTCCGTTGGCGAAATGAATCGAGGGGGGCGTCGGTGGATAGCGGGGGGAGACGACGGGGATGAATCGGCGAGGGTGGCAGGACCTACAGTCAGTCGCGTGACGCGTTTTCCGCCGACAGCGTCGGACGGCGTCGTCGTGTTCGCGCCAGCGAGAGAGAGAGAGAGAGAGAGAGGAACAAGCTTCTTGTAGCGCGCTCCGGTTTCTCATTCCCGGAGAAACAGCACGCTCGCGTTTTTCGCGCCGTCACTCGAGTCAGGTGCGCGACGACGCGACCCCCTCCGACCCCCTCGCTCCCTTCGTGCGCGCTCGGCCGTAACCGGACGCGATCGGCGCCGCGCGACGCGTGGCAACCTGTATTATCGATCGCGCGCGGTCGCGCGCGTGCCGCAGTTCCGCATGTCGCGTTCAAGCTGATCGGCGAGCGTGGCGCGATAACGTGTGTATATATACGGATGATCGTGTGCGGTCGAGCGGACGGCTATATACCGATTATTTCACTCGGCGAGCCTGGCCGGAGATTTTACACGCGACGAGGCGCCGGCGCGTCGGACGCGGCCGAAACGGATCTGTCTTGTTGTTCGTGGAGAGATATTACCGCGCCGCGGCGCGGCGCCGCGCGTGTCCGTATCCCGGCGATACGTCCCGACTGCGTCGCCGCGAGTGCCACGCGTGATTTGAACGAGACGATGCCTGCAATTATACTGTGATCGCTACTCGCTCGAGGATATGTAGTTTCATGCAGCAACGATCGAACGCCGTGGATGCAATCGACGAAGCTATATATTGAGGTGACGAGTCCGCGTGCTCGCTAATTTTAGCTGAAATATTTTCCGTTTATATAATTCCTGCTTCGAAAATAAAACATTGCAGCAGGTACTTAAAGCATACCTTCGCGAAATAACCTCAAAATGTCGTCGTCGGGATACACGAATATTTAATGTAAAAGCTGTGTAGACCAGGTGGAGAATATCGAGAACCGATAAGCGAGCCTAATTTGGCCTACGTTTCAATATTTAATATCACGTGATCACCGGCGGCAGCATCTCGAACGGCGTCACGTGACTTCAGTCGACAAAGTACGAATCGTCGCGTGCCGGCCGGCCGTCCGACGCGACGTCCGTTTTTTACTCCCGTTTTTCGCGGCTCCCAATTCGGTGCACGGTTTTCGCGCGCGTGTCGCACCGGACGTCGGGCTCGTCGCAAGTTCCGCATCCCGGACTTCGCGGAACTCGGCCCGTCGCGACCTCGACAATGCGCCGCCAGCGGGACGCGAGGTTATGACGCTGCGCTCGAGGATGATGCACCTCGTGGCGCCTGTTCGTTTCTGGATTATCTCGTCAGCGGCGGACGACGTCCTCCACCGGTCTTGCGAAAGGTGAGACGCTCGAATTGTGTAATTACTTGGCGATTGTGTTTTGCATGGACGATGTTCAAAACTTATAACGTATACATTTTCGGACGGAGCGGGTATTTGATCGCTCCGAGCGAGATTAATAACGTCACATGCTATATCCTCGTCCAATCAGAAATCTAAAATGAAGCATGTGTGCGTCATTAATCGCTCTCGGAGCGATCAAACCCGCTCCGTCCGATGACGCTATTAGATGTAATTTCGGTAGCTCGCGTTTTCGCTAGCGATGACGTAATCACGCGTAAGTCGTCTCTACGGCTGCGTTCGGTTTGCCGCTTACAGCGCTTGCAAGCATCGTTTGTCCTTGTTTAATATTTGACGAACAACAAGGATGAAGTGACGCTGTGAGCGCTGTAAGCGCCAAAGCAAACGCAGCCTACGTTTTATTAATTCCATATTCTCCATAAAGTGGAGATGCAAGTGCGTGTGCGTAAGATGCATTTTCCCGGAAAAAACGTTATAAATAGGAAGTATTGTTTTGAACAAAAATTTGAAAGTACAACTCGATTAACAATACTTAGTGTGGTTAGAGTTCAAGTATTTTGTAAAATTATTTGTAAATTTAAAAAAAAATGCATTCTTTTTAAAGCAGTTTCTTTACACACAGTGTTCTTTCATTTAATCAATTATTTTAATTATATTTATAATGATCTGGTATTTTATTCGAGATGATAAATGAAAATTTTTTCAGAATCCTTCGATTGAAAATTTATTTTCTCTCTCTTTCTCTCTCATACACGCATGCATACACACGTACGCACACGCCACAAAATTTGCATCTTTATTTGTATTCCGGCTTTATTTGATTTATTCACTTTTGCTTACTACAGACGGCACAGACGCAGCTGAAATATTTTATAAAACGAAATAATTTTATGAAACATTTGTAGATTAAAGCTGACAAGTTTATTAAAAAATATTAAATTTGGATGCTGTATTTTTTAATGCGAGTAAAAATTCGAAAGTATTATATTATTTTTCGGAACACTTCTAACAACGCTAACAACGAACATTAATTAAATAAATATTGATTAAATAGCTATAGCTAGAAACAATAGATTAAATAGTACCTCGAAACAATTGTAATTAAAAAATGCAAAATAGTATGAGAGAGAAAGAGAGAGAAAATAAATTTTCAATCAAAAGATTCTGAAAAAAATTTTATTTATCATCTTGAATAAAATACCAGATCATTAATAAATATAATTAAAATAATTGATTAAATAAAAGGACATTATGTGCAAAGAAACTGCTTAAAAAAAAGACTTTTTAAGGAATTTACATATAATGCAAGAAAATACTATAAATTAATATCGATATAAATTAATATCGATATTTCTAAAGTAAGAAAATGCACTTATTTAATTTAAGCATTGTTGAACGAATTTTTACAAGGAAAATTATTTTACTTTTCTGTGTGCTTATTCTTTCACGTTAGAATACGGTATCGAATATATTCTACCTGCATGTACATGGAATACAGGCGTGCACTTGTATGGATTCCACCACATATTGACCTGTACGCGGATCAGTACGCTCAGTAACATGGCATGACTACTTGCGATGCCGTGTCTATCCGAAGCTGACTTTTGACGCGTACAAATCTTACAAGCGTCACGGATCAGCGTCGGACGGTAATGCAACTCCACGGTAGGGTGGGCCGTAAAGAGATACGTCTGCATCGGAAGGGGAGCGAGTCGAGGTATCCCTGCATTTCGAGTAGAATAAATAATCTGTACGGAACACTCGGGACGAATGAAAAATTATCCCAAATCAGTAATTTTAGAAATTTATCATTAATAGAAAATTATCCTGTTAATAACGTACACATATGTAATTAAAAAATCAATGAAAAAGAAATCATATTTTATGTCGAGTGTTTTAGTATATCTTCTTGGCTAATAAAAAAATATTCTCATTCATTTCGTAAAGAATAAAATTTCATGATCGATATCGATATATATTTCTCTCTCGAAACTGCGTGTCACATTTTATATCTCAAAACTCCGAAGCATCAATTTGGAGTTTTTTTCCAAGCTGCTGCTTCGTGGAATCAAGGTTGATGACCTTGCACTCGTCTCGAACTAACAGCCCTCGAGTTTTGTACGCACGTCTACGAGACATCGCGGCACGAAGAGAGCCAGATAGGGGGAGAAGAGAGCGTGTGTTGGGGATGCGGGTGGTTTTGCGGGGGTCGAGACGATTCCGTGGGGTAACCCGCGCGTTGACGCTCGCCCGAAATGGAGGGTGGCTCGCGAGGGGGCATCGAAAGAAGAGTGCGTGATGGGGTGAAATAGGAAAAGAGAGAGGAAGGTAGAAGAAGAGAGATCGATGGATAATGTTTGGGATGCACTATAGTTACGGTTTCGTGACGATTGAACTCCGCGGTGTTTCGAGTAACGGTAGATTGTATAGATTGTATAGAATGTCCGGCAATTATTTTCAAATAAGAGATGTTATGAAGAAAAATGTGCTATAATAAGAGTAAATTATATAATGTTTTATAATGAGAGTAAATGGTATAATGATATAATCATTTTACTCATCACATCGCTATTTTGATCTGATTTAATTTTCTCTTAACGTCTTATTTTAACACGCTAGTTAAAGTACTGAATAATACGTGCCATTTATAATTTGAGGATTTGTAATCTGATAAATTTGTGTAACCTGATTAATTTTAAGTCTGGCGTTAAAATTAACTGCAAAGTAATTTTACACTTTTGCAATATGATCTTTCTCTGATAATAATTCAATTAATGTAATCAATTAATTTGATGAAAATTTGACATCTTGAAGGCTCAGAATATAGTTTTTGAATTATTCTATCGAATGTTATTTCGACTCGAATTCATGATTTTCTCAATTAATAGAAATAGAAAAGTTATCAGCTCATGCGACGAGAACGAGAATTTAATACTTCGTATTTCTTCAGACTTTTTATTTTTGTATTTAATTGGCAGTATGTTTTTAGAATGTATTAAGAATTCTAGAATCCTTAGAAATTTCCTTAGAAAAAAAAACCAGAAATATCGTTTATTATAAATCTAAAATTCTATAATGCGAATGAGGAAAATTTTAGATGCTTGACAAAGGCAAATGGGGGTTGTTCCCTGAGAACGTTGCCTAACTTAAGATATTTTGGACACGTTAGGACGCGTCCTAAACACGCGTGTGCATTTATGCTACGGCATGCGTCCCATGTGCACAGTGCACGCACGATAGATGGCACGTTCCCAGATCCATCGACGCATTGCCATGGAAACGGCACCGCCGCTGTACGAACACGCTCTGGTGCCATATCGTCACGTTGCGCCGCTTTAGAACGGCAGGCTAGTTTCAAGGGCACTGCTCTATCGCGCCTTAAGGAGTGCAAGAACGATCAATATCCTCTTGCACCCTTATTTCCATCGGCTCCCCCCTCAGCCTGCTGAATATCTTCTCACGTCGGCAATCGCGTTTGTAACCGATTACGTTATTCCCCGAGTTGATCCGGAAGATATATTAGGCGTGCACGCATTTATTTATCTACCATCCGCACATTTTTTAAAGAGAAAATTGTAAATTTTCTCATAGCTTTTATTCGCTTTTACATCACTATATAAATGTCACGATTGTGCATGAGAATAACGAGTTAATAAAATTCCGTAAATTCTCAAAGTAAAAATATTCTATGCCGGTGCAATGTAATGTAATGTAATTAAAAAGAAAAAGAATGATTCGAATATTCTTGAAAATTCCTCGCGAAATAATCGTCAGGATTGCGAAGTGCAATGAGATCGCGTGCGCGGCTAAAAGCCAATAGTTATGCTTGAAACTACTCCGTTCGAACAACAATGCAGAAAATGTCGGGGGTGATATTTATGCGGCGTCAACACGAAATCGATCGCTTTAAAAGTGGCACAGTTTAACATGCAGCCCCCCTTTGTATTTCAGGAAGCACGCGGAAGAGGGAGGAATGAGGAGATTCACCCGGTGACCTCGTGCCGCGCGCGGTAATGCTACTGGCAAACGGTGCCTCCATACCGACCATCGCCGGCGCTGTCGAGGAGGAGGAGGAATATGCACGCAGCGAGGCGAACAGCGTGCATTACGATGGATACGTCACTGATCATACCGATCTGGCCTCGGAGGTCGATATCGACGAGTCCGAGTACAGGCGGGAGTTGCTTAATGACGTGAGTCATTATCGAAATCGCTAGACGCCATCAGAAATAAATCGTTTAAATATTAAAATTATTTGTCATTTTCTCCGTATCATTTATTATATGAATTCATTTTATTTTGAGATTCTTTCGAGACACATATAAATAGATTTTCCATTAAGGTATTGACAGATAAATAATTTTGCTCACACGCGAGGCGTCTTTTTTCAACTAATCTTGATGAATGTGATGATTAACATGAATTTGTTTCTATTGCATTACAGAAATGGCGAATGCTCTTCGACAAGGTGTGTATAATAGCACTGCTCGAAGTTTATCCGTTTTCGGTGGACCAGATCTAGATTCGATTTGGCCATTGTTTCCAGTTTGATCCGGAGGGTTTTGGAGAGATACCGCTGGAGGACTTTCTGACAGCCTTGAGAAGCCCCGAATGGAAGGCGGAGATACCGACGAACAAACGTGACATACTTCTAACCAGGGCGAAAGAGTCGCGTGTTGAGGCAGTGACTTTCCAGGACTTCGTCAATGTGGTGAGTTTGTAACTCTATTATTGCTCCTTATTAAGGAGAGTACGGTGCGACATAATTCCAATATCGCACGAACGTAAAAACAATATAGACTTATTAACGCTTGCCGTAAACTGAAAACCCATTAGATTTTCAATTAAACTGTTTATCAATATTTTTATAAAGTTTTCATTTAGATCAAATTAAAAAAAAAACACTTAAAATCCTTATTTCTGTGATTATTTAATGGCTCAATATATAATAAGTTAGTAGTATAAAATACATTTATTTTTATTCTGATATTGAGAGAAAATTTAACTGACAATATAATATTATATCAATTTTTGCTCTTTTATAAAACCACATTTGTTTTATAAAAATTTTAACATTACCGGATATTTGATTTGCGTACGGATGGCAAGATTTCCGGCAAATGTGCTATGTAAAAGCGGATGGTTCTGCAGTATGCTGTCCTCTCGACAGTGAAACGCTCGCTCGATAGGGAAGGACGATATAAAATCATTCGTTTAAACGTAAAAAGATCTTTTTTTACACGGTTTACTAGCACGCTTTTTTTTAGTTAGGTTTGGAAACAGAAAATTTAAATTACATTAACATTAATATCAAATGTTTCGATACAACAGTGGCTTATATGTATATATGTGACAGGGACTTCATTTATCTTTCGTCAGTTTAACAGGGATCTATTTTGCATTACGTAGATATAAATATAGATAATATAATGATTTTAACATATTTTTTACCTTCAATTTGTCCAAAAAAGATAATACATATAAGCAAAATAAAATAAAGCAGCAGAAATTTTTTGAAATATATAATAAACGTATCTAATTATAATATTTACTTTACATAACATATAAATTTTATGAAAAATAAAAAGTAAAATAAAATAAAAATAATTTTATTTTTATTTTGAAATTTTTATTGATTGCTAAAGAAAAAATGTTTTAAAATACATTAAAAATACTTTGTTTCGAGTAACATCATCTTATGGTCAATATAAGTTTGTTCTAGATGGAGTCACTTTCAAGATTTGAAAGTAATTCTTATTTGTACAACTGAAATAAGATTATTCCATTAATTAATTCTTTTCACTTATAAAATTATTAAAGAAAGTTATACATTTTGTGAGATGTTTAATATTTTATATTTTTAATTATAAAATATCGAATCATTTTTGCATAATTATACAATTATTATCATTGGTATTTTTTAATGTAAAATAATGAAAAAATTAGTCAATGACTTTCTCTGTTAATTATCTCCACCAATATCTGTCACATGCATTTTAAGCGATACTATAATGATGAAAAAAGATATGCATTTATATAATATATACTTTAATATATACTATAATGTGTTTTTATATAATATTTTTATATAAATCAATTTTTCCTTAAGTTAATTGAAACAAGAATATGAGACATTATTTTTATGCTAAAAGAAAATTCGAATGTCTCTATTTCGATGAACTCATCGATCATCTTATTTTAACATTTCTATATATGGATTGTATAGATTGTATAATGGCAAATGATTCATATAAAGAAATAGTGTAGGATCATTTAAAAGAAAATGAAGATAACTTTAAAATCTAGAAAGTAACTTTAGTTACAACAAAATTATATTTGAATGTAATATATATGTTGCTTCAAAGCATAACAGTTTCGACTTGACACATTTTTTTTAATAACCACTAATCTTGAAGATATTTTAAAAATCGAGTAGAATTATTGCTTTATTCGTACTTTTATGGAATTTAAATATGTGTGTGGATAGAGATAAAATCAGCGTCCGACATATTTGACACACACATGTGTCTCTTTATACATTCCTCTCTGCTTTGTGCATGCTAGTTATGCCGCATATGTTTCGCTCGAGAATCGAGACGGGAAATTTGCAACACAATGTAATCTGCTTAAGAGACCGCGACGGAATTTACTTTGGAGCACGCTCGATTTTCATCGGTTTCTCATCCGGCAAAAGCCGGATCGCGACCGTGGATCGACGGTCGACGAAGAAGGTTTACGGTAGTTAAATGGTGTTATTCTAACCGCCGCCGGAATGTCTCATTGTCCGTCTATTTGTCAACCTGAAAAATGCGGGCTTCGGCCCGGATTTCACTGATCCTACCAAACGACAATGACCGCGGGCAAGAGGAAACGCGCGGCTAGAAACTGACAGATAAATATCGGCACAATGATAATCTCAACGTTTAGAGGCACAGCGCGCCGACGGGTCGGCTTTTGTTCGCGCTTAAACTCGCTGACAAGTTTTTGGTGGTTTTCTACACGAGCTCCCTTTCGCTCGTGATCCCGGGAAGATAAACGGGTCTGACGTTGAGAGGCGGAAAATTGTCCGTGCACATATCGAAGCGATCCCGAAGCGCGAGCTAAACGACGCGTAAGGAGAGTCTTGACGAGACTCGGCAAAATCAACCGTGAGATTCTTTTTTTGTCATTAACTACGCAACGAGAATAATGTCACTGCAGTCCTCTTGTGAATCATATCTGATCCCCGTGTAATTTTAATAAGATTGCACAAGGACCTTCGGTCTCTCTCGCCGCCTTAACGAACAAATGTGGCGTAAGCCGTCTTTCGGAAATTGGCTCAGGGCTAGTCTTCCGTGAGAATTTACAAGAAAGCAGTATTCTATAGAACTTCCTATGGGACCGTCGTTCCATTTGAAATTCTTATTGTAAATTAGAAAACGCCATACACAGTGAATTTTGGCAAGCAGTCAACAATGAATACTCAATTTATCGCGAATGTGAATCGAGAAGCGAATTAAGTGAATAAAATTCTTTGAAAAGAATTTAATAGCTAGTTAGACAATATAGATCTAATCGTTATCACGATTTTTTATGTACTCTGACCAACTCGGGAGGGAAGTGCAACCTTCTTTCGTGACTTAAAGACACTCGATTTATATTATGATTTAAACAAGCTATTTCAAGTATCTTTTTCTACTTCTAGTTTTACAGCTCTTTATGTTCGTCCTAATATAAGACAAATATTAGTGATTTAAAAATGATTTAATTAACGCGGAATCCGAATTAAACATCCATATATATTGTTTATATAAATATATACTTAGAAATGTTATAATCTTCACATGAAAGATATTGAAATTCTCCTCTTTTCCAAACAAGAAAAAAATATTTACATTGAAAACCCTTCTACGTATTCTCACGCCCATCATTACTATTTATATATACCACGGAATCGAGAGGGGCCTTTTTCGTCATAGGCTAATCCGATTTATGTGGCGTACTATAGCGTTTCGGTGGCGTACCTGCTTTATGTTGACAAAATTCATTTGAGGATTATCGACTGATCCTTGCTTTGTAAATATCTTGATCCAAAAAGGAGACCATTAGAATTTTTCTCACACTATCTTATCCCAAAAGTATTTATAATATTAATATTCATTCCTCAATTATTTTGAATAAAGCATATTTTTGCATATATTTGTAAGTGAAATTGAATTACCAATGAACAAAATTTATTCCGTCGTGATAAAATAACTATTAGAACAAGCATAATTTAATAGAAGATTAATATATGACATATTAATATTATAAGAAATATAATTGGGAGAAATAATTCTATAATACTTAATAGCCATGTTATTATCCGCGTCATTTTGATGTCTACCGCTGGCTACATTTTTAAACGTTACATTATCATGATTTTTCCATAAGATTTCCACATTTATTAGTATACATATTTTTTTCCAATCTTTTGAGATTTCAAATTTAAATATATATACTTTAATAGCTCGCGTGTTGTCAGCCGCAGAAATCTTTGCTTCATTTTGCCGCGGGATGTAATATACTATAATAGGATTATACCTGCAGGTGGCTGAAGGCAGTAGCAATTATTCAGAAGCGAGAAATCGCAAGTATTCTCGGTACGCTGCTATAATTTATGGTTGGCGTTGCCAAATGGCGGCAACTAGGATTTCCTTGCATACACCGCATATTGCATTGTATGCTTATTCTGCACGATCACATGATAATTCCATTTATCATTAAGAAAATATGAAAATTAAAATGTCTAAGAAGCGTACTTTTATGTCAATAATTACGGCAAAGTTATGACGAGTAGTACCAACATGCAAATTCATATTCGAAATTCATATTCGAAAAGTTGGAATTTGAATTTCGAAAGTATATTAAGTATAAATACAAGTATCAAAAATCATTTTGTTAGAAAGAAACTGTGATATTGTATTCTACTGTATGGTAAAGTATTATACTGTAAGGGATCAAAGAATGAATAGTTCATTAGTAATGAGATACATAATATTCGCTTGATGTCGATTTTGATCATTATTACTGGTTATCTTTAATTACTTTTTACACTGCGAAGCTTTCGATTGTTTTATTTTTCGATGATCCTTCTTTGGTGGGTCATTTTCACGTGCACGTTGGCACGGTTTGTCGCAATCTCTCGATTTTTAACGATCGGCATCGGTCGATTTCCCAGCGGGCGGCTTGTTCAACACGCGATAAGATCGAATTATCCCGCGGTGCACCCACCGCCCCGTTTCGCCCGTTAAGTGCACGGCCATTTGAACTTTAGCTCGTACTTTGGGTGCGCATACACGAAGGCGGAATTCCCGAGGAGCGAAAGAGAAACACGGCCGATGGGAGGAGGATTCGTGCCGAAGCTGCGATTAGCAATTAGTCCGGACGGAGGTGGTCACTCCGTGTTTGCACAGCGCGGAACCGTTAATTAGCGAGAGAGATGGAGAGAAGGGCACGGTTAGCGAAGAAACGGACTTCGGCCGCGGGGGAGGGGGGAGGAGGAAGGCTAGGGCGCGATAGAGGCAGAGGACGCTCTGTCGGCGCTTAGGTGGCCTTTGCCAGAGTTTCGGCAAGTCGTTGATTCCCGTACGATCGCGGTGGTCCTTCGTCTCTTTCTCTTCCTTTTCTTCCCTTTTTTCTTTCTCATGTCTTCTCTCCACCAACCCCCTACTCTGTGAGGTAATTTTTTCC